TTTCTAATTTCTCGATATAATAATTATGTCATAGTCAGTGCCCCCAATCACAAGTTAGTATACAAACTTCTTTAGGGGCTCCTAACCATGCATGTTTTTATATTTCCATGAATTATTGTGCATGTATATGTATTTTTATGGTTGAAATAAATTTATTTTTTTAATTTTTTTTTTGTAAAATGAATATATTGATAAATATATGCTGTTGAACAAAACAAACAAACAATCATACACAATCAATTGAAATAACATCGTAGCATCATAACATAGTTCAAATAAAATATGTTTCGTTTTCTTGAATAACAGTGTTTTCAAAAATGCATAGCTTTTTTGTTTTACAGTTCCTTTCGATCTTTAATCGGTTGTGGATTAATCTTTTGAAAATACAAAGAATAGAGACTTCATGAAACATGAGTTTGCGATTTTCTGCTTGCATAAATAATGAATTGAATTGAATTCAAGAGGAACTTCAGATGAACTTTGCCAGAATTGAAATTATTCCCTAAATCCCAGGGTTCTATAGCATGTCTTTGTTGTTCCTTCAATACAAAACATGACAAGGTAATTTGTTGAATTCAATAACATGAAAACAAGTTCAAAACAAATTGTGATAAAGTACCAAGCTGTGCCAGGCTTTGGGCTCTACACAAAAAATCGACAGTTTTGATTAATGCGGAATTTTCAATTCCCTTCATTTAATGTATGCCTTCCAGTAGACAATAGTCAAAGGAAATTCAAGATGACCAATTCTAGACCTGAAGAAGAGAAAATTCATATCAGCTATTTTAAAATCTATATGAATCATCAATCTGTATGATTTGGAGAATTTGATGATGAAAGAGAAAACTAGATCATTTTTCGCTATCTTTCATAAAAAAAACAAGGATGATTCAGCCGTTTTTATTTTGGAATAATACGGGCGACCAATGCCACTGAGGTGTGATATTACACCAGCTGCGGAAGGAGACACTATACACGGTTATGACAGTTAGTGAACAATAGCTTAAAGGTGTAGACCAGTTTTGGAAACGCCCCCCCCCCCCCCCCTCTCAAAAATGAAACGGAAGCTCTTATTACCAATCATGTGAAAGAATATGTTTTGACTAATACGTGGTGATACTAATTTTGCCGGTTAACCGCCTACTAATTGATATATTTGGTAAATTATCATATCTTGGAATCCATCAAGAAAAAAAATCAAATATGTTAAATATCTCAGGACTCTGCAATTGATAAGATCCGATCAAAATGCAATTCGACAACTTTTCACTTCTCAAGAGGTGAACGCTTTACCCTACACTCTTTGAAAAGATGGAATAGTGCCCAAAAAGCTTACAATGGTGCTGTCATTTTCAGAGTTCAAAGTTAACATTCATTTGTTTCTACACAGCTCTTTCACGAAACACGGCACATGTACATGTAGATCGCAGGAGTTTGTAATGTTTGTGTTGATGGCCAGCGCTCCATCGTGTCTCGAACGCCTGCAACTTTTATTGGTATAATGGTATATATTACATTTGTGATCTTCTAGTTCTTTATGCTTTATTAAACACATTTACTGTCTTGTATCTCAAATGTATCAATAAACGATGATCTGCTGATTAATGGCCAGCGCTCCATCGTGTCTCGAACGCCTGCAGCTTTTATTGGTATAATGGTATATAAATGTGTGATCTTTTTAGTTCTTTATGCTTTATTATACCCATTTCCTGTCTTGTGTCTCAAATGTATCAATAAACGATGAACTGCTGATCTGTTATGAGTAGATTTTAGTTGATGGCTTCGTTTTATGGCAGTAGTTTTCAGGAACTTGACGATGCCTGAAGCCTATCAAAGTCTTCAAAAATGATCAGAATAATACGACCGTGATTATGTGTGTTTTCCCGATAGCTTTCAGTTGGACTCATTTTATTTCCATCATTAAGTTTAAAGGGAAAACCCCCGAATCAACTGAGGATTTCTGTATTTGTTAACGACATGAATTTCAAAAGTCGATAACATAGCTATATAGTCATGTGTACGAGGTCGTTTTTACAATTGAAGAGCTTATTTTGACTTCGAAAGCAAACTTTTCCCTCTGAATTTCCGTCTTTTTTTTCTGCATGTTTGTCTGGGTGTCTGCAAAAGCGTCCCTTGACTATTTGAATAAAAAAAAAACTAAAAAGAATAAAATTTTCCAACAACCGTAAATATTGGTCGACATATTTCAACTTAGACGTCAAATATTTAGTTTCTTTGTGGCTGAAAGGGTCTCTGTCAATATCCTCTCTCTCTCTCTCTCTCTCTCTCTCTCTCTCTCTCTCTTTCTTTCTATCTCTATCTTTTTCCCATCCTTCCTCCATTTCTCAGGTAGTGGTCTTTTCTTCAAGGTTGTTTTTATAATCAATATACCACACATTTTAGTATTTCTATGTGTAAATCAGATTGTGACATTAAAATAGGCCAAGGAAAATCGAATTCTGTCTGCAACTATGCTACGATTATGATATACGTAGGCCTAGATGAAGATTATTGTACTATCATGATATTTTATGCTATAATTTAAATGGCTTTGGTCTACTCGTCGATAATAAAAAAATTAAATTAAAAAAAAAATCATGATGGAGAGAGCCAACACCAGTTTAGAATGTAAGGTAGATACAGTCATGTAGATGCCCGCCATAGCCGGAGGGCGTGGAACAATAAATGAAATTAACACAACAATATGGCCGTCTAACTTTTGTCTGGTCCATTGGGCGGGAATTCTTTGGAGCATTGTGACGAAACAATGCCTTGGTCAAGGGCAAATGTGATGGGTATTGTCCGGGTGTGACGTACGTCGATCTGTTCTTTGTTCATTATGAATGGGAAGGCATTGGAGACAAATAATATTTGGGTCAAATTCAAGATCACCTTGCTGTAGTCTGCCTGTACAGGCTATAATTTGACACTTTACAACAGCTGCCAAAGCATTGAGCAGAACCTAGCTCTGTCGGTCTCGGCCTATGTATTAAGAGAGCTAAAGTACAGAACCTAATACATTGACACGTGTTTTAGTAGTTTGTTATGTCATTTTCGACGGGTTCGCCTTACGGTAAAGAAATATGTATGGTCTTCCTATTTTCACAGTTTGAACAAGAAGGACGGTTCGCTTATTTCATATCAAAGGCCATAAACCCGCACTTTTCCAGGTCACAATGTGTACAATCGTTCAAATTTATTTTTTGTTTTCTTTTCTTCAAGACATTTCTTATACTTCGCAAACATTATCAGTTCAATCAATCTTATATTATTTCGTATAAATCAGTCAACAATAAAATGTGTTAAGAGGAAGTGAAATCGTGGGAAATCAACGTTGGATGCTATAGACGATGACCAAAGTTGGTAGATGCTATCACACACTTGTGTAGTGTGACGTCAAATCCGGGACAAATATATGGAATGATTAGAAAGCATATAGGCTAAGACATGCCCCAGGGGTCTAAGTCAATATAGATAATAGGGACTTTAAGATTTGCACGACGAGAGCGTGGACTGCTCGTGTGACATCCTTTAAGGCAATGTAACGTCACTGCCAGTGCCTTAAAAGGATGTCACACGTCGCAGTCCACGTTCTCGTCGTGCAAATCTAAAAGTCCCTATTGTAAGCATGCGTGACCAAGAAAACGCGTATATTATTATAAGTGGTCGTTTTTTATAGATTGGATGCAGTCTGCGCGGTTAAAAAGCGCCAATTTTCAAGAAAAGGGGTATATTTTCGAGATCCCGACTCCGAATTGAAAGCTGATCGGGAAGCCGGATGTCTGTAATTTTCGGTTACGTCAGCATGCTAATGTAAAAAACACATAAAGAAGCCCCTATGTACTTCGCGTACAAGCATGTGACGTGCTTGTTTACACCCGGGGTTTACGACGACGCCATTAGCATCGATGGGGGTGTACAGGTCGATGTAATTGCTTCTCTATTGAAATAAATTTTCACATTGTGAATTTTACATCAGAACCGCAATTTAATTTATTTTACATTGTCAACAACTTAAATGGTAATCCCTATCGCACTTCAAAATGCTCAAGGGGTTACAATTTTACAATACTTGTTGAAGGCAATCTATTTCCTCGTTACACATTCTTAATGTTGATCGGCCCAGTCCAAACCTCTATAGCGACTCCAGTTCAGGTTCATGGAAAACATATGTACATATAAAAGATAAATTAAAAGATAAAATAATTTTATACTATAAAAACCCCAGTACCCCAAAACAGGAATCTCACGGTGTGCAAGATCACTGGTAAAATGTAAAATAATCGTTGAGTTGGGAATATGAGTTATCCATAATCCATTTGGTCAAATCATTTCAAACACACACATTATATACATTTTTTCATTCTTATTTCAGATTGAGCTATCTTTTTCCTTAATAATGACTTATATAATCTGTTTGGTCAAATCATTAGATACAAACGCAATCTCAACGTTTTTTAATTCTTATTTCAGGTTGAGCTATCATTTTTCCTTAAAAATGACATGTAAAGTACGTTGTGTATTCTTGTCAAAAGAGCCAATAATTGTTTTGGCATCATTTCCCCACAACTGAGAATTATTATTATCTCAATCACGATTTTAGTTTGAATATCAGGCAGAAGTCTCAAAGGTTGAGACAGGGTGTGCCTCAATATAAATCCCCCCCCCCCCGGCCCTTCGAGAAGGTTGTAAAATGCCAGGATTAGGGCAACCATTACCTCCATATAAAAAACTACAATACTTTCCCAAAGAAATTGACAAGATATCTGGGCCCTGTTTCACAAAACTTACCATTGATGGTAAATTTGCCATCAATGGTAACTACCATGGAAACCTTGATTTTGATTGGCTGTTGAGCCCTGTTACCATGGTAGTTGCCAGTGATGGCAAAGTTATCAATGGTAAGTTTTATGCAACGGGGCCATGATAAGTATTTTTGTTGAGAAAATGTCGTAACATAACTCTATCATCTTTTTTCTCGTTAATTTTTCTTCAAAAAGGGAGGTAATCGTCTGGAGATCATCAACCGAAACGATGACGTGGTCCTAGCCAATCTCACTGGGCCAACCTACTTTGTCAACGAGAACGATACCACGTAAGTATGGATAGTTGTTTCTTGAATATTGACGTTTTCTTATCGACAGTATTCTTTGCAAAAGCAACAGCGAAAACAACCATCTGATATCTCTTCACTGACACAAAGCATAAGAAAATGGATAGGGAGCAAGACAAGGATTCTAGGGCAAAGACGACGTCGACTTGCTTGCCACCCCTTGCACGACACCCCTCCAAAAAACTGCCCCTTTAAAAACAGTAATCCAAAGAGATTACCGAAGCGGGGTTGTCCGATAGATGTTGTCTTTTGGGGAAGTTGTCCTGATAAAAGAAACCTGGATCAATCGATATGATATGAAAATATAATAGACTATGTACTTTAGATAGCAGCTCGGCCCTTGTATTACCTGTATTTTACCAAAATAGTTATGTGTGTGTGAGTGTGCGTTAAGTGTGTGTTGTGGCGTGCGAGTGTGTGTGTGCGTAGTGGTTGTAAAGTCATGTCTTGTACAGCTCTGTAACTACAAGCGTTTCAACATTTTTTCAAAATCAAATGCAAACGAAAATTTTTGCACAACTTTTCTTCACCTAACGACAACTTTACCAGTGAAAACATGTACATATACGTTGAGGCAACATTAATTTATCATCAAAAAAATATTGTCTTGGCAATAATGACCCCATTATCATGACTATCGTTTTTCTCTAGCCAGCAGTCCAGATTCTTCAACTTTCTATTTCAAGAATTGTTGCCAATTACTTCAGAATTTCTTTTGAGATTTCCATAGAAATGTCAAAAAACATAGTTGCAAATATCCTTTGATGTTCACAATAGAGAGCAGTCATAGCTATTGTTACTTTAAAAGTTTCCTTCTTATTGCCATAAGTTATTCGATATCTATTGTTATTCGTGTGTATTCATACACAATGGTGATTGATGTATCTTGTTGATTTAGGCTGAGTTCTATGTGTCTGAATATAAAGGTAAATATAAAAGTTGTTTTCCATCGCCAAAGATAAGAATCGTATCTCAACAAATATTCGCAGAGATACAATGCATGGTGTACACTGGCGCCAGCCACTCGAGGCCGAGAAGAGTGGGAGTTTTTATATTTTCTTATCGATATAATACACGTAGTTGATATTGACAGAGCAAGGTAGACATGTCAGACAGATCAATAGGTAGATATGTAGATAGATAGGTAGATAGATGGCTGGATTGGTAGATAGATGATAGGTAGATAGATGGATGAATTGGTAGATGGGTAAATAGACGGTTGGATAGATAGAGTTATAGATAGATAGATATATACATTATATAAATAGATAGATGAATAGAAAGATAGATAGATAGATATATAGATAGATAGATAGATACAGATAGATAGATACAGATATATAGATAGATGAGATGAGGGTCGAGATAAAATAGAATGGGGGGGGGCAAATAAATTGCAGAAAAAGAAATAACGCCTACTCGACATGATTATCATAGAGAGAAAGGGGACGAAAGAGGGAGAGAGAAAAAGAAAGAGAGAGAGAGAAAGAGAGAGAGAAAAAGAGAGAGAGAAAGAGAGAGAGAAAGAGAGAGAGAAAGAGAGAGAGAGAGAGAAAGAGAGAGAGAGAGAAAGGGAGAGAGAGAGAGAGAGAGAGAGAGAGAGAAAGAGAAAAAGAAAGAGAGGGGAAGATAGAGTGGGAGTGAGAGATTGGGCGGAGCCAAGAGGGTGGACCGAAAAATGATGAAGGGAAAGATAGCATATTCAATATAGTAGCAGTAGTAGTAGTGGTAGTGGTATTGTGATGATGATCATCATCATTATGATTATTATGAGTATCATTAATGTTTATCATTTACGATCTCTCTCTCTCTCTCTCTCTTCTCCCCTTCTATCTGTCAATCTCTCTCTCTCTCTTTCTTTCTCTCTCTCCCTCTCCCCGCTCTCTTTCTCTCCCCCTCTCTCTTTCTCTCCCCTCCCCCTCCCCCCCTCTCTCTCTCTCTCTCTCTCTCTCCCTATCCCCTCTCTCTCTTTCTCTCTCTCTCCTAGGGTATGGAGCCAGGAGGTAACTATACCCTCCGACATGGAGGGGGCTTACACCCTCCGGCTGATCCGACAGGCAGCCGAATGGGTGACGGGTAACCCCGATGTACCCTACCTCTTCAGGAGCTGTGCTGACATCAATATCACCGGTAAATTATTTCATCCAACTTCCTCATTGGTCCTAACCAAATGTTTGATCGAATGTAGTCAGGATTAATTCAACAAGACCATAACACGTGTTTTTGTTCTCTCTCTTTTCAATAAAAAAAATGCGTCCTTTAGTTTCCTGTTCTTTCAAACGATTTGTATAGTGAACCGGTAACATTGTTGAAGGTTGATAACAAAAAACTGCCTAATTTGTGTATGAAATGTTACTTAATATATTCTTTCTACTGTACTTACCCCCTAAAATGCAAACAAATCCTGACAAAATTCTCAAACCACAAAGATATTTATGGTTTTCTTTGAAGGCGTCAATGCGTAACACCCTCTAACAGTAAATTCTCTTAATTAAGTTTTGAATTTTCCAAACCGTTTTTCCATGAAAATAAGACAAAAAACACGCTTTTTGATAACATGTCAAAAGTGTCAACAGAGCAATTAAATGTTTGGAATTGTGATAGAGCCAATTTATTGCTTTGTGACGATTTATATTCACCTAAAATGTAATTAAATTATAACAATATTACTGGGAGAGAATTTAGAAATCGATCAGATTAGTTTTTCCCAATTTTATTGGTTTGTTTTGAGTAAAACTTTCAGATTATCTTGAATTGTACATCTAGCATTGAAGCCACCACCTTAGCACCACTTCTCTCTTCTGAACAATATTACCAAGTCCCTTGAAATGCAATTTGCCCTAGGTCTATAGAGGAAGTGTGCTCTTTATACTGTGGAGGCTATACGCTGCAGTGAGTCCATTCAAGTTAAGATTGCTTTTGCAATCGATACCAGCTTTTAAAAATAACTCTTTATTTCATCAAACAACAAACGATTTACAATGTATGTGGGAAGACATTAATCTAAATTTGCCAGCCAACCCATCTGAGCTAAGCGGTCGGTACCTGGCAGGAATGAATTCCTTGAAATGCTATAGAGCGCCATAATGGGCGCCATTCTAAAGCCGGGGACAATAGTTATTATGGAGCGAGGAGTGTCAAGTCTGTCAGCCATAAGCGCTATACAAGAACCCACTATTATTATTATTATTATTAATTCTATTATTATTATCATTAGTATTACTATTTTTATCGTTATAGATTGAATCAAGTGTCGACGAAAAGTAGATATATGGCCTATATCATTATACATGATATAGAAATTGTTAAAATAAACACATAATACATCTTCCATCGGCTTGGAGGTTACTTCCAACATTTTTTCAAACAATCTCCCTTTTTGGCAATTCTAACCGCACTCTTACAGTGTAATTCCACTCCATATCTTAATGTTCTCATCCCAGTTTGCCATTGCCTTCCCTCATGGTTTACTACCTTCTTCCTTTCCATCTAAATATAATTTTCTTTCAAGAGACTGTGATGACTTTTGATGCGACAAAACTATTTTGCGTTTTTTTTAAAATATAATTTCCACTTATTTACTACTCCTATCGTGATAGTAATATGAAATAATTAATTCCCACTCCAATACTTCTTTGTTTGTTTTTCATGTCTCTACGATATTCCCCTCAATCTCCTATACAAGTCAGTTAGTTCCTTCCAAAAAATTGAAGCAGTTTCTTTATCTCAAATAATGTATAGTTATTTCGTCCCTATTTTCATGTAGTGAAGGTAGTGAATGAAAATCGCATACAATTTGCGAGCAGATTTTCCTCACTACCGTCACTTCGTGAAAATCTTATGTTTTTATTTGTATTATAAATTATGTTTTTCGTTTTTTGTTTCTTTTTTATTAACGTTTTGTTTTCATCTTTGTTTATCTTTGCTTTACATTATGCTATGAATACTCTGGGAACTATGGTTGTACAAGGCCTAAGGGCTTTATTTATGTAGTTCTCTATTTCATTTTCTAAATTTGTTTACGAATAATTTTGTATCTTTTGTATCAATGTCATTTTTAATCGAGAATGAAATAAATTTATTAAAAAACATCATATAATTTATATATTTTATATATTTACCTTGATTTTTTTTAAAGCGGCGGCTACATGTGACGGCGGGAGATGTTCAGGATTCGGGACGTGTATGAACGGCGTGTGTGATTGTGATGCTCTCCACTCAGGCGAGTTCTGCCAATACGAAGGTAAGAACCAAAACTCACACTGTGCATAGCGATCACTAACGACCGGGCATGGTGGCTCAGTGGTTAGAGCGCCCGCCTCAGGAACGGGAGGTCGTGGGTTCAAACCCCGGCCGAGTCATACCAAAGACTTATAACAATGGGACCTTCTGCCTTCTAGCTAGGCGCTCAGCATATTAGATTGGAGAAGAGTAGTAATAACATATTATGTTATGTTATGCAGGGCCCGCTGGAAGAGCAGTTTCATAACTAAAGTGGCTACCCTGGGTAAATAAAACGTTATTATTATTATTATTATTATTATTAAAAGATATTGCATATTTCTTGGTTATAATAGCAGAAGAAAACTATGGAATAATTTGTCAGTTCAACAAACTTCAACCAAGCCTGACTATAATCAAATAACATTAAAAACATAGGAATCAAATAATATATAACTATATATTGGTCATTCATTAAGTTATAAACGAATTTCTCATATTGTGTTTTTCTTGCATTTTAAAGCATTTTGTGTATTTTTTGACTGATGTAATGGGGAAAAAATCCCATTGGTTAGAATCGAAAAGGTTTAATCATTTTAACAGGACATTGATGAAAAAAAGCTTTGCTGATTCGATTGTTTCTTTTTTATCCTGTATAAATATGTCAAATAAAAAAAATTAAAAAACCTCAAAATATCTATACCTAATCATGCCTATGACTGTACAAGAAACTGACAGTTTTCAACGTTCGAAAGTGGAAGCAAATAAAAGAGAAACCCCTTATACCCTCTTGATGTTAATGAGGCATGCGTTGTAGGCATTACGTGCCTTACCAAGGTAACCATACTTCGTTTCCATGGATACAGCATTCTCTTGCTTCTGATACACAATATAAGTGAAACCTCACAAACTTACATTTCAATACACAATGGATCTAATGGAAAATACAAGCGGATTCTTATCCGTTTCTGGTGGTTTAAAACAATATATTTAGAGTACATCCGTTAGAATCAGGAAGAATAATCGAACAGAAACTTTCTTGAAGCAATCATTTTGAAGGCTTTATTTTGGTACAGATAACGTTAAAGCAAATCTTAAGCTCTGGTATGTACATTGTATCTCTAGAGAACATGGCTATAATTCATTCTAGATTATGGACTTTTAGATTTGCACGTCGACATAGTGGACTGCTACGTGTGACATCCTTTTAAGGCAATGTGAAGTCCTTTTAAGGCCCTGCCAGGCACTGTCAGTGCCTTAAAAGGACGTCACATTGCCTTAAATGTCGCAGTCCACTATGTCGGCGTGGAAATCTAAAAGTCCCTAATGTTAATCCTGCAGTAGATTGATTGTTTGAACCAGTTAAATAAAAACAACCTCACAGAAACTTGCAGGAAATCATCTTTATTAAAAAACAAAAAATATATCTTTCTATGCTCATTACTCAGCCATTATTCATTTTCTACCAAATCGTTTGGCACATGTCATTTATTCGTTTAACATTTAACATTCTTTAACATTCAGTATAAGTTTCGTTGGATTCTGTGAGAATTTATGTTCCATCATTACCAGAACTTATTATCTTTAATCGGTTGGAATAACCATAACATGTTGTTTAGGCTGCTACCAACCTTCAAATCATGTTGGAGGTACATCCTCAGGATGGAAACTCGCCTCCTTAATTATAAGGTTTGTAGAAGCCATAACATTCATTTTTAATTTGTTAAAAGATATTTTTCAAAGCAGGCAGCGGCCATGAGCACCCATTAGAGGCGGACACCGTGTCTACACACACAAGAAGCCATTTTCATTAGCAAAGGATTAGAAGCTCATTTGCCATCACTGAATATGAAAAGATTACATAATATTGCCTAAATGTGTTACATAACAACCCGTAAAGAACGAGAAACCATAAGACATATCATAAAACAAAGAGGTAAATACTATATATCCCACACACAAATATAGAATTATTATGGTTGTGTAAAAAGACTAAGTGTGTTCTTTTCTGGTTACACACGTCTTATCACATATCATAGAACAGTTACATATTGTTTTACTATTGACTTAGTTTATACATTGAAGAGAATCTTTTATTAAAGGCCCACTGCACTACTGGTAGCTACTTGCGCCCTCTACATAACAAACAATGCCTAATCGGTGACCATTGGTCCCCCATGATCCTCTTTTTCTTATGTTAACTGAGAGCTGAGTTGATGAGATAACACCTGTCCAGTGACCTTGCAGGGTGGTCTAATCCCTCCTGTAAACTACGGCAGATAAGCTTTAATAAAGCGTTGATTACTAAATTCACTCATTCCCGTAGGGTTTATACACGATTCACCTGGTACCAGTGGTTAATGGGTTAAAGCAAACGCGGCAGTCCGCTAGAAAATAATATATGAGATCGACTTTAAGTTGGACTTAACCATGACAGGCTGTTTATACCACTGTTTGCTCTCACTACTTGCTGGCATTGGTCTCTTAAAGGTAAAGACCAGTATTGGAAACGCCCCAATTTCAAAACATGAAATGAAAGCTCTCATTACCAATCATGTGAAAGAATATGTTTTGACTAATACATGATGATAAAAAGTTTGCCGGGAAACCGCCTACTAATTCATATATTTTGGTAAATTTGTTTCTCTCATGGTCTGTGAGAGATATAGGGTAGTCCCATATACATCTTTCTGTGTATAGTGCTTGTAACTTTACGAAGAAGGGGCCAAATTTCTTATCATTTTGATGATTCCAGAACCTTGCAGTACATGATCAGCCTTTTCTGATCGATTCCACAACGTTTCTTTCACAATGCAATCGCATGACCATAACTGGTCTTTACCTTTAAGGGACGTACAAAATAATCATGGTCACAAATCTACAGAATTTACATTTGTTGAGAATTCATTTTTGAAGGAAAAGATATTATCGAAAGATCATAATGGTGAGAGCAAACAGTAGCATGGATGGCCTGCTATAGTTAAGTCCAAGTTAAAGTCGATCTTAGTCTTTGTGAAATACTCCCTAGGTGTTAAAAATAATGTACGTCCATGGCGAGGATTGTATCAAAAAATGCGATCGTTATCCCTAATTCAATTTCAAATTCAAATTGTATTGGTCCAAAAAGAAATTCGTTGCGTTTTCATGCATTATTCACAGAGAAAAATAATGAAATGTACATTTGACATGATACATACCACATAAAACGAGTATATAGAGAAAATAAACATAAAGCACTTTAACATTCTCATTAAATAGATATTTTCTCTGAATTTACATTATTGACAATATTTGTTCCTATATTCAGAGTAATTACTTAAACAGTTATAATAATCAATCTGGGAGCATCAGGAGAATCACGATGACATCATAAAAAACTCGATAAACAATTATGATTGAAGGACACTTTCGCAGCCACACCCTACACAAAAGCAATTTTGTATGAACAAAGTAAATAATCTAATAACAGGAAATGAAGGAATACCAAATAGAATAACTTCTGATATGATGCAGTGCTTACTGAATTACCTTTTTTCTTTTCCTATTTGATATGATGGGTTATTCAAATTTTGCTATTCATTTTCTTCGGATGATATTATGTCACTCTGGAATCTGATTACAGAACAAGTAGCGTTTGCTTTATGCTATATGCTCCCGTTTTAGATTTCCTTTTGTAAACAAGACAGTGGCGTGTGAAATGTAGCATGTATACAAATAGAGAATCCTACCTGGAATTACAAGAATAGAACGGGTTGATTTGTATCCATAAATGGTGATATTGGGGTCATAAAATTATTTAATACAGCATAGTCATTGCTTGTATAATTTAGAAGTCAAGGTCGTGTTTGTTCGTACCATCACTATTCAGCCGCGCGTGAGAATTCTAAAAAATAATTTTCCAGATATATTCGTAAAGAAAATTTTGTAAAGAATGTTCATACTTCAAAGAGATGGTTGTCAACGTATATGGCAAAATGACTTGAGCGTGCGTGAGTGTGTGTGGGTTGGGATGTGGGGTGGGGTGTGGGGTGGGGTGTGGATGGGTGCATATAATATGCGCGCGCGTGCGTATGGGTGTGTTTGTGTGTGTGTGTGTAGGAGAGGGGGTAACATGGGTAAGGGGAGTGGGGGAGATGAAATTAGAGGCATATAGAAAAGGGGTATAGAGAGTAATTGAGGAAGAGGGGAGAATAGGAATGAGAGAGGTATGACAGAGTCATATAACTAGATGAACAAGAAGGAAGACTAATTCCTCAGTTTAGTTACACCGCACACCCGACTCCAAACTGACTGACTGTTGGCTGATGTCAAGTTTTGTTCAGGCTGATATCGTCCTTGTCGGTGTAAACGGGTTAATTTCCTAAATAAGAAATAACGAAATTTATAAAGGTAAATAATTAGGTCATGTCATACATACTTATATGTATATTTGAGTCGGTAGAGCAGTGGTCTCGTGATCCGGTGACCCGGGTTCGAAACCAAGTCGATGCGCTAGTGCCCTTTGGTAAGGCATTACTCCTCATTACCAGGTCCCCCGGAGAGGACCTAAGCCGTCGGCCGTCTGGTTGCTTACTTACAAGCATTTATGCTTTCTTAGCAGTCAGGTAAAATAACCACCACCACATTCATTTTTACAACTAAATTATTCGTACCCTTGTTAAGTAATATTAATAGTTTTTGAAAGATATGAAATTTGATTTGTCCCGATTGAGAATGTGACAAATTAAAGCTTACACATCCAAAAGTAGTCACCAATGGCACTAATACGACCATTCCACCTTTTAGTCTTGAGTTACGAAAAAACTTTTTTGTTAAACCTCAAATTTACAAGGGCTATTGACAATCCAGTTGTGCAATGCATGTATGAAGGTAAATATAGTACACATCCTGACTCTAAATAGTTATTACTTCTGTAATAAATGCTAACAACAATCTTTAACCCAGTTTGATACGCTGAACATAGCCTTCATCTGCGGAATGCTCTGTAAATATTGTCTTCTGTCATTCTACGTATACAAATACAAAATCAGTGACCCTGAATGATACGGTATTCTATTTCCTGTGTATTATTTACATATTGCTTCATCCAGGCTTCATCGGCTTAGAGATCTATGAATGCCAACAAGAATTGTGGCTTTTTTTACAGCAAATAAACGATTTTGGTATCAATATAAACCGCACGAGATCTTTGTCTGCGTTCTGAATGGCCAAACAAATTTTCGACAAGTCATGACTACCGAAAAGGTGATGAGCCATCATTTTCTGCCCCATTACATATTGACAATGAAACTAAATTAGTCCACACTGTTGTAGAGTGAAAGATTGCCCTTAAGGTTTCTTTTGAATGGCCGGACAAATTTTTGACAAGTCACGATTACCGAAAACTAGGTCTGCATCCGATTGGAGGGCGTTTCACAAAACTTGTCATCAGTGACAAATGACAGTTTTTGTTATAAGCTACTGAAATCCTTGCTTCTGATTGGTTATCAGCAGATTTGACACTGATTTTTGTCATTGAAAAAAGGCTTTGTGAAACGGGCCCCTGGTCGAAACATCCTCAAATTAAAGGTGGCGAATCGTTATTCCTACCCCAGGCGCGGATCCAGGATTTCTTAGGGGAGGGGGCCCAACTTTTTTTTTTTTTTGCTCCCGAAAATTTGAAAATCGCGCCGGCCGAAAAGTCGTTCAGTGGGGGGGGGGGGGGGGGGGGGGGGGGGGGGGGGGGGGGGGGGGGGGGGGGGGGGGGGGGGGGGGGGGGGGGGGGGGGGGGGGGGGGGTAAAGCGGACATTTTTTTTTTTTTTTTTTGAATTCCCAAAAAAATCGCAACGACTCAGCCAGCCGAAAAAGTCGCTCAGTGGGGGGGGGGGCCCAACCCCCCAAAAAGGTAAAAATCGCGTGATTTTGCATGATTTTTTTCTCAAGGGGGGGGGGGGGGGGGGCGGCCCCCCCCCCCCCTCCCTGGGTCCGCCACTGTCCTACCCCATATCATATTGACAATAAAACAAATTAGTCCGCACTGCTGTGGGATGAAGGACTGCCCTGAAAGTAAACTCTGGGTATAATCTATAGAGTGAGGTGATGAGCTCACCGAGCTGTGTATAGTAGAAACGTTGGTGACACTTTTGGATCGATATTTTGTTGAAAGCCTGAGCAATATAGCCAGATAGTACAACTATACATCGTAAAGGTAGATATCCCTGGTAGATAGTTGAGATACATAGTACAGGTATAAAGTACAATTAAAATAGTTTGATAATTGAAAAAGGGAGACAAAACGGAACAGTCTGTGACACCAACCAATGGTAGAGGTACGCCATGGGTACCATGATTTGGCATACAAAATAATTTGTATGCAGTGTGTTTTGAAAATACGGATATGAGACGATTAGATTTTTTTCCTTTCATAATAGTTATCAGATCCCATACCTTTTACGAAGGCTTTCACGCACAAATTTCACTTTTCACTTTTATGTATCCGGTTTCATTTTCACTGGCAGTAGAAGGATGGGAACTTTTCATACTGTTCTCATTCCTACTATACCTCTAAGTGATGTCAAGTGATGTCTTTTTGATCGACTGAACATTACTTCAAGATCATCTCACTGCTGTGGTTTTGATTATGATCAATCATCATTTTATATGCAGCTATGTCTTCATGCTTCATGACAATACACAAAAGATATTTTCGTAACCATGTCCTTTTTTATTTTTCTTTCATTTTCCATGGTCATTCCCACGCCCTTACCTTAAAATCAATATTTGTTTCAATCACATTATGATCTCTATCATTTTGTTTTGTCATTTTAGATGAGTGCATAAACGAACAGAATTGTGGAGGAGCGAGCAACGGAGAGTGCGTTGACCTTGGCATCACGACCTATCCCAGAAGGCAATGTTTCTGCAAGCCAGGATTCTTCGGCAAAGACTGCATGAATAGTAAGCAATTAAGCACCAAATATAATAGTGACAAGGCGATTCATCCTTAATTTTTTTAATAAAGTGTAAACGTGTTACCTATCAAAATGGATTTTAATCATGCTTGTGTAATGACATCATTTTTTCTGTATCAAACGGTTTTGAACACTAGCGTATTATGATTGAGGCAAAGGGGCATCGCCCCCCCCCCTAATTTACATATTAAAAAGAGATGGCAAAGTAGGGCATGCATCGTCCTCCCCCCCCCCCCCCCCCCCCCACCCCCTCTCCTGCCTCCTGGCTCCTGGCATGTACTAGTTGAGTTTTTTGCTGAATATTGGGTCACCCTTGGCTTGGATGTTTTGTCCCATCCCCCGCCCCTCCCCCCCGAAAAAAATCCAGATCACCACTGGTTTTGACGAATTTTGACTTCTATTACATGAGTCTTCATCGCATATGGCTAAGTGATGTCAGTCCATTGTGAAGAAGTATAGATTATAAGATGATGAAGTAGATCCTAATCAAATGATTGGTTGAATGCGTACACGTGACCAGTCATTTATTTTTTCCTAACGCGTAATTTTGATAATGACTGGTCATTATCCAATTCTAATGACCGGTCATTTATTTATTTTTTATTTTATTTTGTTTATTTACCCAGGGTAACCCCATCAGTGAGTAAAAACACTGTTACTAAAATCATGTTATAAAACATCATTTTATAAACAAATAAAACATAATCTTATAAAACAAATAATACACATTATTTTGTTTGGGCATTAGTAAAATTACCCACACTCGGTACCTTCAAACAGTCCAAACACCCTCGGCTACCGCCTAGGGCGTGTTAGACTGTTCCAAAGGTACTTTGTGTGAGTAATTCTAACTAATGCCCTCATTGCTTTGTATTATTATGTATACCAATCAACCTATTTTTCTAAATCCTGGACCTCTAGGAAGAACAGAGCCATTTTAATAATGGCTCTGAATAGAGCTTTCCAGCCGTTTTTTTAATTCTTGATTTTATTATTTGTAAATTGTATTCTTGTATGTATTGAATTTTCATACGGAAAACCAACTGCGACTGTTTCTATTTTTCTGTTTGTCGTTTTGCAGTGAATCCATCTGGTTTCGAAAATGCGGATACCTATGACCTGAGCAAACATTTCAAACGAGAGATCAACCCAAGATTCACCTTGTACTACAAAGTAATCCAGGAGGTAGGTGTGAAGAACAGACGAATTTTAAATATCATTTTCATGAAACAATATCAAATGCCGAAACCCCCAACCCCCCCCCCCCTTTGGTATTTTTTCATGTGTGTATTTTGGAGGAAACCCCCCCCCCCCCCCTTTTGGTATTTTTTTTTTTAATTAAAAACAAGTTGAAAAAATTATACCAATGGCTGACCTAAAAAAGTAACCTTACCCCCCCCCCCCCCCCCCAACGGAGAAAAATGTCAAATTTCCAAATTTCGAGACCAAAAAAAAAAAAGTGTCCTCTTACCCACCCCCCCCCCCCCCCCCCCCCCCCCCCCCCCCCCCCCCCCCCCCCCCCCCCCCCCCCCCCCCCCCCCCCCCTTGCCACTGATTACATTTCATGACTTTTGAGATCAGCGATACGGCAACCTCATGGTGTACGACTGTATGTCATAATAGAACATGATGTTCGGGATTCTTTAGGTCACCGGTCATCATTATCGTCAATACCGCACACTGACTTCGAGCCGTTAGGACTCGTTATCACGTGTTTTGTACTGAACAAACTTGAAGAAAGAAATATCAACCAAATTATGAAACAGGGCCAAAGATAAAGTGGTCATTTGACAAAGCTATTGACCGGTCTTCAGCATTTTCTAATTACCAGCCGGTTAATGGTGTCAATTTGACTTCGTCGATTAAAGCGGTAAGGAATTGGAGATGAGAATGATTTGTCAAATTACGAGGATCCTCGTCACAATTTCATAAAACAAATGTGCACATCCTAACTATGTTCGGACATTCGCATATCCACCCCTGCTTTCTGTCGAAGTAGTTAAAAAACCCTCGGCTTTATATTGCCTTAAGTGTCGGACAATTCCAAATGCACTTTATGTAACTGGTTATGACCTCACTGATGTATATTTAGATATATAGTATTCATATATTAGATATAGGCATTAAAGTGACTCGGTAACATTGCCTCAGATTCTGAAACAGAATCCTGGATTTAGCTCGTGCTGCAATCATAATTATAAACCTTCAGTTCAGTCAGGAATTCCATGACTTTTACATGCCGATCGCCTGTCTAATTATCAAGATATTTATGATTGGAAATCGAAATTTTATTTTTCGTTTTCCGAACGTTTTTTTTTTATTTATAAAACTACAGTCCATTGGGGAAAATAAGTATGGTTAAACCGGTCACTCAAAGATCTTTACCTTCTGTGGCACTTCTTGATCGTTTTGAAGCGCAACTTATTTAGGACGACAATATTACACCATATCACAGACACTGATAACACGTACGGCTATGCATCTCAGATTTAACATTGTTAAACGATGCCTTTAACAAAACTGAAGGGATCGATCGATGAATATGAATTTCAAGCTTGTTCTTTAGATTGTTTCACCTTGTAATGTTTGTCTTTATTTTTCCTTGTAGAATAGTGAGATTGAGATCGCCGTCGATGCGATGAGTACCACATGGGTTGGCTTCGGATGGAGACCGTTGAGTAAGCTCCTCTTTCTGCTCCTCCTTTCTCCTCTTCGTCTCAACCTACTTTCCTGAGTATTTCTCCTATTTTTTCCTTACTATCACATAATTTTAACTCTTCTTCTTCTTCCATTGGAGTACATCCCTCTTTACGGAGTATTGTCGTACTATACTCGGGTGTGCAGGTGAACCACTGCACTGGGGTTTCCCCCTACTCTTAAAAGAATAGTGCAGTGGGTTCTTATAACGTGCAAAGGTGGTGACTCTCCTCTGCACGGGGACTCCATTTAACGTCCTATCCGAGGGATGGGATAAACTTGTGTATATACTGATCTTTTTCTTCAGCCGCTTATTGATCTCTTTTCAATGACGGTAGCTCTTTTTCTTTTCCGTGCAAGTTTCCTTTCGCCACTGATTGTTCTTGTCTCTAGTCTAATTTTCCTTCTGGCCTTTTCTCTTCTTCTTCTCCTTCTTTTTTCACCCTAGGTTCTTCTTCGTCTTCTTCTCCGATCTTTAGCTACTCTTGTTTACTTCTTCTTATCTTAAATATTTTTTTGATTTAAGGTCTTTCACTTGGACTTTAGAAAAATTAGTTAACTCACAATTTATTTTTCCCATTTGCCAGAATTCAACAAGTCCTATGACAAAAAAAAATCAAATACATTGTGGGAAAGTGATATGCGATGTGGCGATGTGGCCAGTTGATATTATTTGAGTTGCACATGAAGCCTTTAATAAATCATGATGTAAATGGTTATCTATACTCAGATCTAGATGGAAACTGTCAGAATTGGCCGGTGCACTACACCAATGGCAGCGCTGTGAGCGAGCCTGAGTCTGAATCCGAAGCAGAAGCCACCCCAACACCTGCTGTCGTGAGTAAAACCTCTCTTTTACCATCCTCATATCTTCCCCTGATCTGTATATACCAAATCAATGCAATACTCACTTGCTGTTTTTTCATCACCTGTGCCTGGGAGGGGAAAAGCAGAGTTCGCGTGACACCTGGATCTCTTCCCCTTCTGGTATTGCTGATTGTTGATGTGTATAGGTGCACCACTATACAATAATGCAGTGGGTTCTTAATGTGAATAGGTTGTGACTCTCCTAAAAACGAGGCCACTGTTTGCCTTGGCTGGATTCGTACACACGGTCTTTGGTTTGACAGGTAGACGCTTGACTCAGTCTGTAAAGCTTGGAGACTAGTACCAATGAATCTAAGGTAGATGTCGACTCTCCCACGTCTCTTATATTCTACATATGAAACATATTTGAACCCTCACCTTGACACAGAAATCCCGGGTGCCATGTTTCCTTAGCATGCTATGTACAAATATACTAATAACCCGACCCGGGGGGTAAAATCACATTTTAATAACTTAAAGATTATACCACAGTTTAACCATGGTTTAACTTCCTTTGGTGAATCTGATTTCGAACAAAAGACTTCATCCAGCGTTTGAAGTAGATGTGAGTAGAATGCGGGCCGTTGTGATCAATGATAACAATGTTCGATGTCCCTACAGGCAAGACGTCGACGTAGATCATCGGACGAGGTCCGTGTGCGAGTGGCCCGTGACAACCACGACGATGACGAGGGTCAAGACTGGGAGTGCATCGTGGGATCGGGTCCAAGGCCCGAGGGCGAACCAGAACCCGAAGGAACTTCCGAGCCCGCAGCAGAAGGTACTCCAGAACCTGCAGCAGAAGGTACTCCAGAACCTGCAGCAGAAGGAACCGCCGAGCCTGCTGCAGAGCCGACTCCAGAACGTAAGCATAGATAGAGCCATCTATGCACAGAGTTTGGCCAACTTGGTTTCAATAATGTTGGTCACAATGGCATTGCGTATATTCTCCTTATTTTTTCTTGCCCAAACAAAGCAACATTCGCCGAACTGTGTCCGACTAGAAACGCGTTGGCCAAAGATTGTGTATCCCTTGACTTGTTTGTATGTAACTTTGGTTATTCAGTTCAGGTGTTAGACACTCTCTGAGTTCTCCCTTTTTTTAATCACTCTTATGTCATGTATTTTGCCAATCAGTTCTCTTTTAGGCTACTAGTGTACTCAATGTCAAATCAACGGCGTCGTGAAAAGTGATGTAGTGAATGCTACTACACTTCAGTACATTGCAGGGATTTGTGTGCCTAGGTTCATGCAAATACGAGCCATACGACATGATTAATATTTAAGTAAGGACGGAGTTACAAATCGATGTCGAAGACACAGACGGCGGAAACTGAATCGAAGCATGAAGAAATAAAGGCCTAAACCAAAGAGAAAGGAAATGAGATAGAATGAAACAAACGCGGTATGGGGATGGTATCCGGAAAACAAAAGTAATCAATAATTGATATTCAAATTAAACACGATTATAACTACTCTCGAAAATCGTAATCGAAACATGAGTTCTATGGGACCTACGATTGAAATTGATTTTGAGTTGATTTTTTTTATGCAATCGGGTTATCAATATAAATCATACCATTAAGCACAAACTCAATCCCCTGACAACTTTTGTTTTTCTTGTCTAGCTGAAGGTGAACCCGAACCAGGTAGGCTTAAGAGAGGGGGAACTAGGATATTCACTTAACTGTGGTGATGGCTTACTAACAGCAGCAGCAGCTCCAAAAATAGCGTTTTGTTTTTGTTTTTGTTTTTTTGTTTTGTTTTGTTTTTAAATTAATCTCAGCAACACAAAGTATATTTCATAATTATTCATCAATGTCTCATTCAGTATTTATTGTTACTCATATAAATTGTAGGCTTAAAACCTGTCTGCACTCGTTTGACCAGGAGGGATTAGACCTCCCAGCGTGGTCACTGACAGGTGGTTATCTCATCTCATAACATAAGAAAAAGGGGTTCATGGGGGACCAACTGGTACCACTTAGGCATTGTTTGATATATATTGGCTACAAGCAAGTAGTGCAGTCCCGCTTTAATGGGAATATATAAGATATTAAGACTGTCAAGATTTGTTAATATAATGTTGAAACATCCTCATTAACCCCATTATTGAATTAACAAAATGTGGATATAAATATGTATGTGTAGTGCAGTCCTGCTTGAATGGGAATATAAGATTCAGAAATATCGACTTTAAAGATTTGTTGATATAATGTTGAAACATCCTCATTAACCCCATTATTGAATTAACAAACAGTTGGATATGAATATGTTGGTTGTTGTTCTAAACAGATGCAAACTAAAATGTAAATGCCATAAATTGAGTAGAAAAGGGATTGAAGAGTAAGGGGTAAAGACTACTAATTGCTTCATAAAATTAACATATTTTCATCAATGTACAGAAGTTTGACTTTAAAGTTGAAAATCGATTACATCAATGAAAACATTTGCTTGTAAAAACACTAGATACTGCTAAAATATCACTTTGGTTAATAAATATTCAAGCATTTACTAATCCAAAATCATTTACTTATAAGAAAGTTGTAACTGCTTAAGCTGAGTGCCATTATTTACAATTTTGTTCTCACTTTACTGAACTATATATTTTTATAATTCAGCATTGACAGAAATCTTTTTCATCACTACCAATCTCTTCTCAAGAAGTGGATTATATTACGACTAAATTATAAGTATATACATATTAAATATGATTGATTTCAGTAAAATGAGAACAAAAAGTAAATAATACAAAATTTCACAAATTGCTTTTTTAGCTTCTCAGACAGTCTGGGCCGACAGGTGGAGTTCAAAATTAGTATACGCTTCATTTAAAGCTTATCTGCCATAGTTGACAGGAGGGATTATATCGCCCTGCAAGGTCACTGGACAGGTGGTTATCTCATCAACACAGCTCTCAGTTAACATAAGAAAAAGAGGATCATGGGGTACCAATGGTCACCGATTAGGCATTGTTTGTTATATAGAGGGCGCAAGTAGCTACAAGTAGTGCAGTGGGCCTTTAAAATCCAACAAGTTATAAGACTTGCCCTCCATTATACAAAACATGATACATGTGTGCCACGGGCAAAACGAAGTATGGAGGGAAATGAGAGGGCCAAAATAAGAAAAGAAAGAGAGAGAGTAAAGAAGTTTCCAGAATTCCCGCTGAACTCTTGAAATGATGATTTCGCATTTGGGAAACTGTGCAACATTTATTTGTGTATTTTCTCCAAGTAATATTATGCAGCGTGAGCTTTCGTGTATTATATTCTCGAATTAATTACCATATCCATACACTTGATGTTTTGTTCAACGGTGCCTTGCTAACTAATTTGCTCGGGTGATACGCATTTTAACCAGGTGACTCTAGATATTGGTGCTAATGTATTTGTATACAAATTTTTACTCATTCCATTGTGTTTTAAATTTCCCCTCTAAATTACGTCTTTCTATACTGCCTCACAGTTATTCGTCTGCAACACCCGGGGGTGGTCACATATTAAGACATACTGGGTTGTGCCGCTCTAATGGGTCGCTTTCTCACAAAAAATCCCTAAACATGGGTCCCATTTTTAACAAAAATATCCCTATTAAAACATACGTCCGTTTTTCAAAATTTGCAAAATTTGCAAAAAAATGGGCTTTACTTCGAGAAAAATCCCCCGAAATGACCCTTAAAAATGGGGAGGGGTTTCGAGGCTTCAGCGGCACACCCCCGCCCAAACCAAATCTGAGTACCCCACCCCCCCCCCCCCCCCCCCGGCTACAACTGTTTGATGGAATAACCTCCTCCAACACCCTCTCCTGTTCGGCTGCTTTGCTGCCTCGCGGGGTCACATTAATGATGCCATCCAATTTTAAAGCACCCCCCTTGACAAAATTCTCCGTACGCCACTGGGTATGGATTTGTAGATTAAATTTTTTTTCTCTCTTCCTGAGTCTGGATAAAAACCTTCTGACGCCCTAATTAATCTTATTATCTTTTAAAAGAAAAAAAAGTATGGTTATTTTAACCAGATTTATTAAATATTACTCATGACTGAACAGGTAGCAATCTTCACCCTATGGACTGCATGGATTTCACAATCGGTATGGTAAGCCATGGCAATGTGACACGTATCCATGACTACTACACGCGTGACCGGTCGACACCCCGCCTTGATTCGTTCTACGGAGGTATGGACAGCTTGGTGGCTGCCATGGGTTTCCAGTGGGCCGATGGAAGGACTCGCATCGTCTTCAGGAAGAAACTCGAAGGTATGAGATGAATTGATGATGATGGTGATGATGATGGTGATGATGATGATGATGATGTTGAAGATGATGATGGAAATGATGGTGGTGATGATGATGATGATAAGGACGATGATGAAGATGATGGTTGGAGTGATGATGATGATGAAGATGATGATAATGGTGATGATGAAGATTAGGATGATGAAGATGATGGTTGGAGTGATGATGATGATGAAAGTGACAATGATGATGACGATGAAGATGATGGTTAGAGTGATGGCGATGATGATGATAATGATGATGATGTTGAGAGCGATGGTGGTGATGATGATGATGATGATAATGATGACGATGATGAAGATGATGGTTGGAGTGATGATGATGAAGATGCTGACACAGAAGATTATGATTGAAATAATGGTGGTGATGATCATGATGATGATCTTGTTGACAATACTTATGATGCTGATAGTGATGATAACGATCGTGATGGTAAAAAGAGTAAATGTAACGTTTATGGTGATGATAGTGAGGAGGAGGAGGAGGAGGAGGAGGAATGTTAGGATGGTGGTGATGGAGATAATGAAGAGGATTATGTTGAGGAAGGCGATTATATTTCTACTGAATGTACATTTTCTTTTAGGACATTCGTATTTATTGCGTTCTTCATTACTCCAAATATATGTTCTTACGGAGGAACAACTTCTCATTTCCTCTTTATTCCAATTTTGTTTCCTTTTATTTTCTATTTATTCATTTCCTCTTTAAACAAAGCAAAAAATCTTCTTGTTATCATTCTCTGATATCACATGCACCTGTACTAATATCTTTGCCTTTCCTTCCCACTTTTAGCGACTGAACAAACCGACCACTCCATTGCCAACAACGATGATATGATGGCGATTTGGTCTCGTGGGCAGGAATTTGGTCGCTATGTTCACAACCCACCTAGTGGTCTCGAAGTTTGCCAAGCCAGTGATTACATGTTCTACCGCAGGGACGAACTCAAGTACCACGGTACAAGCCCAGATCAGCGTGGAGTCATCCCAAACCTCAACTTCTATGGTAAGTTTAAATCATTGTTTTCATATTGTATCTTATTTGATCTTACTCTATATACAACTTCTATCTTTCTCCTTCACTTTACTTTTTTTTCTTCATCTCTCTGCCCCCGCCCCTTTCCTCTCTCTCTCTCTCTCTCTCTCTCTCTCTCTTTCTCTCTCGCTTTCCATCTCTCTCTCTCTCTCTCTCTCTCCCTTTCCGTCTCTCTCTCTCTCTCTCTCTTTCTCTCTCTATCCATCTATACCCACCTATATATCTAACTATCTAACCCTTTTCTCTCTCTCCTTATTTATTTGATGATTATATTAATAAATTTAATGCGGTATTCAATGCTCCCTACATGTAAAACCGTGACCTCTTTCTCCCGTTATCATTTCCCCTTTGTTCTGCCTCTTTTTTGTTACCCTTTTCAGTTTGCTTTTTTCTAAGGGGGGGGGGGGCGTGAGTGCTTTTCTGCGTTGTTTTATATGTTTTCCTCAAAAATTTGTATCACAAAATCGGTGCTACAACCATCTTAGAATGTGGACGAAATACAAATACTGATGTTTCCTCCAAAGAGGAAAAATCTTAAATTAATTACTTCCAACATAGGCCTACCTAGAGTTTGCTTTTTTCCAATGCAGATGAAAATGTCGTATTCATCGTGAAATTAGATTACAGTGACGTCATACTCAGCCTAGCAAATTGTATAAAAGAAAATCAACCTGAAATGATCGAGTAAGATCGAGATCGACGAATGAATTGTACTGGTCATTCTAAATATTTTGTTGTTGAAATTATATAGCTTTATTTTCTTCTTTGTGTCTTGTTGAAAAAAATTAGCAATACCTGCATGTTTGATAAATACAATTCAATTTACCTCGATCACTTAACAGCGGATCCCAGTGCAATTTCGGATAGGTGCGTCACGGAGGAGACCGTTGAGGGCACTAACTGCAATGGACCTCGCTGTGACATGCGGGTCACCATTGATTACATAACAGACACTGACAGCTATGACGTCACAATCAACACACCAATAGCCATGGACCAGTGGACCGGAATCGGTTTCTCTAGCAACGGAGCTATGGTTAGTATAAGAGTGCCACTGTAGTTTGGGATGAATATTAGGCCATTACATGTTCAGCGTCCCCGCCCACTTCCTTTTTGGGGGCCGCTTCCTATTTTTGTATTATTATTTTTTTTTTTGAATTATTTTTTTTTTGAAGAAAAAAAATTTTCATGAAAAAAAACATGAAAAACACTGCTAAAATGGATCTATTTCTGATCTTTTTTTATTTTATTATTTTTTATATGTCGGCGGCCATCTTGAAAAATAGCCCGACTGTCAGGGAAAATGTACCGAGCGGCCATTTTGAGTGACCATTTTGAAAAGAAAAAAAAAAGGGCCTCCTCCTTCCTATTTTTCAAAGAAGCAGAACGCTAAACATGTTTTTTGTTTGTTTATTATTTGGCCTTATGACGATTCACAAGTAACATGGGCCTTTATTCATTCATGTGTTAAGTCGATTTTTTTTTTAAATCACATTTTGAGAACCTATGGGTGGAATTATATCAGAAGTCCTAACCGAGGTGCCACACTGGGATAATAATAAATGCAGGACCCTAAGGAAGTACAGCAATGATGCTGCTGACGCTTCCCCGGGTAAACAAAAAGTATTATTATTACAATACATTATAATTTGCTCTTGTTAAAGCCATACTGTATATACCGGAAGCACTACCGCAAAATAGTCCCGCAAGTCGCTGCTTCTCTAGTATAGCTGCGCTGTTAATAGTTCTAGCACCGAATATTCTGTCTGTGAAGTGGAAATTGGGTATTAGGTTATGCACTGTTGGCAAGTTGACCAGGGACCCGTTTCACAAAGCCTTTTTTCAATGACAAATGATGAAAAATCAGTGACAAATCTGCTGATAACCAATCAGAAGCAAGGATTTCAGTAGCTTATAACAAAAACTGTCATTTGTAAATGATGACAAGTTTTGTGAAACGCCCCTCAGTATAATTATGGCGCTGTGCAATGAACAATACGCTAGGGCAGATAGTTCATTAGTTCAGTACCGCTTTAACATGTTTTTCATTATCATTATTGCCCACCCCCTTACAGGTTGGTTCTGATGCTATCCTTGTATGGATAAACGGTGATGATGGTATGATACAAGTTAAGGACTACCAGCTCAACGGTAAAAGCGTAGCCGGCGTCGAGGAAGATGCCAACAGCGATGGACTGACTGTCCTAGATATGAACTACCAAGGTGGTATTCTCAATGTCAAATTTAATCGTCTGCGTAATACCGGTGACAGCAACGTGAGTATAATTAGTAATATAAAAATATTTTAAGGATGATGAGATTTGTATGGTGCCAAATCCACTTGGAAAAATTCAAACGGAGGACTTGTGCAAAAATAAAATAAACCACATAAAAGCATCTCCATAAAGTACAACATTTAGATTATGAAATCAAAGACAACAATTAATTATAATTTATGCCGAATCAAACAGATACGTTTTTTTGCTATTACGAAACTCTCTCAAGAGATAGCATCTACAATGAAGGCCTTGCCTGAGCAAAGGTTATATCCTCCACTTACATGTAGTATCGAGATTTGGAAGAAGAGGTATACTCCTGAGCTTTGAGAGCGTAAAGATCGAAACCGGAGGACCTTCCGGAGAAGTGACCACTGAGCCATTAGGCGAAGAATTATCCTAAAATTGTGAATTTTGCTTTGTGTTTACTGGGGTTTCTCCCATTTTTAATCGTCATCACCCATTGTCATCATTCAGGATTTCGTCTTCACCGATGAGGACAGCGGCTGCGCCAGGCTGCTGCTTCCCAAGCCCGGGGAAGGGTTCGGATCCGTCATGGACGGTGTGGTCCAATATCATGGCAGGACACCCATGGTCACTGGCAACACATGTATCAGGCCGTGCAGTAAGTACTCCATTTCTATGATTCATTTTGTTGTTGTTGGAAGAAATGAAATAATAAATTGGCTCTCCAGTAGACCCTCAAAGGACCATTTTTTGGCCCTGTTACAAACAAAACATGGTCACTTCTAGAAAATGTATCAAGGCATAATAATAATAATAGCTAGTTCTTATAGAGCGCTTTTCAGGACCGAAGGCCCTCTCAAAGCGGTATAGTACTCTCGGATTGTATAGGAAAATATGTTACAATTTTATAGGGGATCATTTCTTATGAGTATTACGTAGCTTTAGAAAAATTCTGCCTCTTTTCTTTATGAATCATCTTCTTCTTCTTTTGGGGGGGGACAATGCTTCACTTTTCTCTCATCATCTACCTATTGCTGTGATTCATCACCGTTGCAGTGAATATATACCAAATGTTTCTTACTGTTTTTTTTTTACTAACAAATTCATTTCTTGTATGTCTTTACATAATGAATTGGTCTTGGAGTAGTAATATGTGTTTTCTTTGATTCAAAAAAGATTGGGTTCATTCAATATATTATGATCAAACTGCTATTTGTTCATAAAAGACTAGTATGCGTTGGCCACTTTTTATTATTTCATTTCATTTCATTTCATGAACCACATTTTTTAAACGTCATTTGACTTTCATAATTGCATTGAATGTGTTTAATAATTTCTTGAAACATTAACGCAGCCTCATTCCATAATTAAACCCTGTTTTATACGTCATAATTATGTAACTTTCATAATAGCATGTCCTCTGTAAATGAATGCGTACTTGAAAAATTAATGTAGTAACCCGTTGTATACGTCATGACTTGTAAAGCTTTTAAAACAGCAGTGACTTTGTTATTTATTTGACATGATGCTGCAATTAAAAAAAAACTTTATATTTTCGGCTTACGTTTTTGTTTGTTTTGTCATTTCTAAACAATCCATCGATTTCTGCAATCATCAAATTTCATTTTCTATTTTTTGTTTTAATAATTCTGTGTAGATACAGTTAACAACTAAGTTGTTCATACCCTGACCAAGTTTTATAATTTGTTAAGTATGCGAAAAAATGTCCCGATTTATGTTTCTTGAGGATGTGTCAAATTGAAGCTTACATCTTATTTAAGTATTCAACAAATGCCCTAATTCAACCAGCCCACCTTTAATTCGTGAGTAACGAAAAACACACAAAACATCAAATTTACTGGGGTATGAACAATTCTGTTTTTAAATGTATGTATGTCAGTGTGGCTTTCCATTTTTTAAACGGTCGCAAAGACTTTCGAAAAATCCACCTAAGGCATTTTCAATAACCTTTTTCATCACCTATTACGATATTCCTTAATAGATCGTTTTCGCAATGTAACCAAATTTAATGCAAACGTCTTTGTGAAGTGCCTTAATTCAAATACTTTATTCACCTATAATTAATGATTTTATTTGCAATAACTCAGAATTCAAAATGCATATATTACATTTGCAAGCTATAATGTTTGTCCTACCTGGCATCAACTAGTGTACGCAGTTCGCATTCTGACTTTTGAATTACAATCATTCGTAACAGAGGATTGCAATAATTCGTATCGAGGGACTTCACAAAGACGTATGCATGAGATTTGGTTACAATAGGAACTTTTAGATTTGCACAACGACAACGCGGATTGCTACGATCGATTGACCTCCTTTTAATGCACTGCCTTGAATGGACGTCACACGTATCAGTCCAAAAATTATTACCAAAATGGTCCATTCTATCACGGTTTCCGTGGAATGAGGTAAAGAAAGTGCTTTGAGTTGATTTCTCGAAAAGCTCTGCGATCGCGTTTCTTGGACGTTTATTGAATAACATACAATCCTCTTTACAGGTGCCGGAAACCGTCTTGTGTCGACTAACATGTCTCTGCTTCTATCCCTGAGTGTCATCCTCTACGCCTTTCTTTCCAAACTCTTCTAAATCAATCACGCCTATAACTCTTATCATCATAAACTATCTATCATTCGTGAGTATAACTTTTCTATAAATGTGTTACTTTCTTCTAAAGTGTTGATGAGCAGAACAAGAAATGGGTTCAAATATCACTATGAATATGACGGACAAAGAAAGAGGCCAAAATATACAGTTCCTCATTCTACCCTCAACAATTGCTATCGTAGACAAAGGACATCCCTTCACTGCTATTATGTACAAATGTGTAGAACAGGTGTCACATGCATATTCACCTGTTCTACACATTTTTACATAAAAGCAGTGAAGGGATGTTCCTTTGTCTACTACAGCAATTGTTGAGGGTAGAATGAGGAACTGTATATTTTGTCCTCTTTCTTTGTCCGTCATATTCATAGTGAATGTTGTTGACATGTAAGATACAAGCCTAGGGTTTTTAGCATGTCGCTCTCAAAGAAACAAATTTCATAATTTATTTTAGTAACAATTTCAAATCAGATTCATAAAACGCATCATTTTCATCCGATTGTATTGGTGCTAATTAGCTTAATTGATATTATACACCTGTTCGCGCGTATGATTATGGAAACGGCAATTCAATCAATCTGAATCTGAAATTCGATCGAATTCAGCGGAATGAAGGAAAACCGGGAAAAAAAGAAAATATAAACGAAATAGAGATGAACAGTTGCTGTTAAAGGTTGGCTCAGTCAGTAGAGCGTCCGCCTCGAACGTTAAGACGTTGCTGCTACCTTGTTTGGCATTCAACAATAAGGGATAGAGCAACGTCGATCCGCGGCGCTGCTCAGTGGCTACCGGGTTCACGATCAATTGGGCAAAAATAATTTCTATTTTCGGTTTAACTTAATAAAATTTGGAGTGGACTTTAAAAGATTATTATTATCATTATTATTATTATTATTAAACCAACTGAGAAGAGTATCTTGTCTAGACTTATGTCAGATACCTATAATTCCAATATTAGTCAGAAACTGTGGTCATTGGAGGCCAGTATATGTATGCCTACAACTTGTCATCTTTTTTAAAAAGGAGAAGAAATCAAAATGCATCGACCATCAGCACTTTATCCACGGGAATTACTGTCATATAATTTTCACCTCACTGAGTTATTCATGTTTCCCCCTAAATAAACCTGTTCGGAGCATCGTAATCACAAAGGGAAATAAACTCCCTCGAGAGTTGTCAGACACATTGGCCCGAATTCACAAAGGAGGTTTGACGACAAACCTCCTTTTGTTTCGCCAAACCTCCTTTTGTTCTTTACAAACCAGGTTTGTAAAAAACGCGTAAAAACGCGTCATATGACGTACTAAAACCAAGGTTTGTCGAAAAACCTCCTTTGTGAATTCGGGCCATAATGTGTTTAGTTTTGCATGCCTCACTTCTTTTCAAGATTATGATCAACGCGTTTTGTTCTCATTTTCATCATCTCATTTTCCTTTCATTTATATTTCCTGATCATACATAATTTTTTTACTGCACTCATACATTTCACAATTTCCAACGGTTGAACCACTTCTGCAGCACTATGTCTTTAATCACAATAATCACGATTATTTACTTTTAATTTACTAACATTATTTTCTCAGACACATATGTGTTTGTTTGCATACCTCACTTCTTTTCAAGATAAAAATCAACCATTTTTCCCCTTCTCATTCTCATCATCTAATTGTCCTTTCGTTTAAATGAGGGACTTTATTCTCTCGCAAGAATAGCGATTTTGTGCTCTATTAATACATTATTGTTTCCCTTTAAATAACCGATCCCTCCGAATGTAGTCATACATCTCTGCTCATCTCATAGTGATACAAAATTGCTGGATGTTATAAAATTCAAAAGTGAAGAGTTTGGCTAGCTGCATAATATTATGAATACATATGGTCTATGGTTTACAGTAAGGCATGGGAAAAGCCTCGACTCTGTTTGGAACTAGATGGCCATGTCATTGAGCAGGTCAATAATAACATCTACCTATAGGACAAAATGTCACTGATGATGCCAGTTGTGAGGCAGACAGCAAAAGAAGGATTGAAATTGCGCGGAATACATTCCTGGTAATGAAAGACTTATTTGCATCAAGAAATTGAATTAAATTGAGAATGGGACTTTAAATTGCTTTGCCTTGTCTGTTTTATGGAGCAGGAACATGGACCTGAACAAAGAATATGCATAGTAAAGGAAATCACATTTCTAAATTTGGATTTGCAGGAGAATGATGAGAATAGTATGGACAATGGAAAGATATGAAAACTTACAAGGTCGATATGGCAGGGTTTAAACTTTATATCCTGATAGGAATGGTTGAAGAAAGAAAGGCAAAATAGTCTCTTGATCTATAATTTGATTGGAAGGAAAAGTAGAAGGTGACATACCAAGAGGGAATCCGATACTTATTTTGGAGGCGAACATGAAGGCATGGAGTGGAAAGACACCGTAAGAGTGTACTAGGGTGGTAGAAAGCAGAGATCATAATGTGTGGGGAAAATGTTAGAATCGACCTCTGGGTTTGGAGAAGATACCTAAATTACTAAATTGAAACATCATTCCCCTTCATATGGATCGTGATAACATGACTTACTATGTCTTATACCATGAACACCATAACAAAATCTAATGATGTTGTCAAAGATAAATAGTAGTAGTTTAACGTTCAACAACGTTGTAGGCAGTGACACTTGAATTGGATAAACCTTTTTTAAAGGCCTGTTTCTGGTTTATTTCATGGTAGTAAAAACCCGAGATGACCAATTTTCAATTTCGAAAAATACCTCATCTTAAAAAACTTGTCATAATTGTCTCTCTGTTTATATGTCACTTCCACTCTGCGATACTGAATGAAGTTCATTTTTTTAGTACAAAGTATCACACCTTGCAATTCATATTATTCTTTTTATATTTAAACTAGTTTCAACGAGTGTCACACGTTTTGTGTCTTATTTCATTTCATTTCATTTCATTCATTTATTTTTCAACATTCCAATTAAAGGTATGGACCAGTTTTGGAAACGCCCCTCTCTCAAAAAATGAAATAGAAGCTCTTAGTACCAATCATATGAAAGCATATGCTTTTACTAATATGTGATGATACAAATTTTGCCGGGAAACCGCCTACTATTTGATATATTTGGTAAATTATATTATCTATCCGGACTGGATAGATATCGCGTTGTCCCATATACATCTTTCTGTGTACAGTGCTTGTAACTTTATCAAAAACTGGGCCAAATGTCTTATCCTTTTGATGATTCCAGAACCTTGCAGTACTCACCACTACTTTTATGCTAGATGATCAACCTTTTCTGATCTATTCCACAACGTTTCTTTCACAATGCGATCGCATGACTAGAACTTGTCTATACCTTTAAAAAATATAAAACATGCAAATATAAATAATGTCCATCATACAAAAAAAAGAAAAACATATATAATAAGAAAAACGATCAAGTGACAAGGCGAGGTAAATGATGAACCAGTATGCAGAGGGGGTGGAAACACAAAGAAAGTTGCTTGTCAGGGCTAATCCCCAAAATAATCATATCACATTGTAAACATATGGAAACAAAAGGGGCAGGGGACGTATGATTGTTCGTCACCTACGTTTACTCTTGCTTCTCGCAGTAACGCATTAAGTAATGTGAAAGTTTAATAATCTGAACTAGAAAAAAAATCTTAATTAAAAATTATCTCTAATCAAAATGATGGGAGCAGTTTTGTTTCATTAATTCTAAAGTACTTCCCATCTCAATTTGTTTTAAATTTTAATCTTTTCCTTTTTTAAAAATAAATATCACAGCGTCTCCGAGTACTCCATCGGTAGGAGATGGAGGTGGTTCTGCAACAAGCATAAAACCTCTTCAACCTTTGACCTTTGCCCTGGTGACCTTAGCTTCAATCCTGTTCTCTCTTCGGCGCTGAAATCTGGACATAAAGAGGAGCTATTCGAGATCGCCTTAAGCAGTTGAATCATTTACATTTTATTAGATTTTTGTTTAAATAAAATATACCAAGAAACGTTGTCTTCTCCTTTATTTTGTGATAACGGAGAAAACCCTTTTAATTTCGACTTACAGTCATTAAGGAAGTCATTTATACCATATCATAAACTGTCAAATTGATCGTAGATTGATGTTAATCCGGTATTTATTATCAATATTTTATAGACGAAAAAAACGACGGATTCAAAAGTTGAAAGGTTGAGTCCAGTATTTCATTTACGAGCTTTCTCGCGACCAAATATAAACACGCTTCGGCTGTTCATCTTTTTTGTTTGTCTGTACGGAGTAATTTATTAAATGATCACATACATGTAAATAAGGTAATGTTTTTGTTATGTAAACACTGTAAAAAAAATCATTCTTGATAGCGTGAGAGAATTTATATGAATTCATTAAAAATAGAATGTAAGTTTGTTGTTTAGCTGAATCACAATTAAAAAGAATGGCAAATGAAGCTGATGTGTAGTCTTTATAAATGATGTTTTTTCATTAATTCTTTCATCTTACAGCAACCAAACTAATGCCTGGTGCATACGAGGTCGATTACCCTTTTTCTGAATGTAGAGATTTATCTATATATATATACGGAATGATTGTCTTAAGTGTCTCACAATGTTGTATAATTATGTCTTGATAACGCACACATACTCAGATAGTATACGCTAATTGCTTGTTCGTTCGCCACATTACAATTTTACGCTCTTCAATGCAATCCTACGTTTTAATAAAGAAGTATTCTTTTAAGGTATATAGAATTTGATAGAAAACACAAGAATATGGAAGAAATTATATAATTGTTTTGCTTTGGCAAACAGAACATCATAAATAGCGTTTCGATTCAGTGGCATCATTGTATGAATATGTTCACAACATATGATTGTGTATGTCTACGGAATCGGTTAAATATGTGTTTATTTTTATCAATTTGAGTAGTTGTCGAATTCTAGGCGATAGCTGTGATCAATTGTATTTTGTATGATTTTTTGTAAATTATCGCACAAAAGGACTTTCATTAGTTTTAATTATTGCACAAAAGGACTATCGTAAATATATATATATATATATATATATATAATATAGCGCATGTTCAATTTTATTATTGACAATCTTTGACAACATGATTGGAATAACTGGATGGTATAAATATCGGTAAAACTGTGTTGAAAGCCTTTGTGTAGAAACTTTGAAAAGAGACCAAAACATTTTTGTTTTCTTTCTTTCTCAAATCAATCCAAAAACATCATTAACGTGTGAAAATATGATAAGTACACCCCAGATTGAATAAAATAACAATACATATTATACATGATATTACTTCTAATGATAGAAATAATGATGATGATAATAATAATGATGATAACAACTTAATGATAATACAAAGAATCATAATTATAATAATGATAAAAATAATAATAATTATTATAACAAAGGTAATAATGATTATGATAAAGTAGCTGTTTTGGCACACAATACAAAGTATCATGTTACCTTTATAAATTATTTGTAAATTTATTTCACACAGGTAATTTGCAGGATTGACCAATAGCTGTGAAAGCTATACATTCATATTTGTATTCATGCATTCATATTTCAAGTTTGTTATTAAAGTCTGCACTAGTCATTTCGTAATGTTTTTCTCTGTTCCAACGGGAATTGGTCACACTTGAAGTCTCTTAGATATAGAGTTCCAATCAAAGCACCTCGGAACTTTTTCGGTATGGGGGCGGACGGGCGGTGGTAAAATATAACGCGGTAAAACCGCCGCGTTATTTTTGTGCAGATAGCGTAAAGTGTCATACGATTCACACTTCTGTATCTTATAACACAGAGCTCAGTGAAAACGCGCAGAACCTTTGTTGCGCGCAGTCGCCATTTATATAAACCGCGGCGGTTGTTTTGTGGGTGTTTACCGCGGCGGTTGTTTTGTGGGTGATTACCGCGTCATATCTGTACGAGCCTTAAGTAAGTGTTTCCAATTATTCAGAATGGACCTCGATTGAGTATGAAACGTGGACAACCTATGTCGACTAGTGTCTTCTACTGTTCAATCTTTCAACTTTGTATTAGACAATAAATATACGTTTTCACACAGTACTACAAAGAACTCAGTTGTGAATTATGTTGTAGTATTACTACTGGGTGTATTGTATAAAAACACATTTTTCTCCAGAGACAACATAATATTAAGCACCGAAAGCATATGGTATTGAAATTGCCCTTAAGTTGATTTTTTGACAATGTTTGCCATTGTGCTATAAGTAAGCGTTCAATAAGTCTATCATATTTAACTTATTTTCAATAGAAGCATAACAATCAGACAAACCAATCAAAAAAAAAGTTTGAGCAAAATTTGATAACTTATAAAAAAAGATAAGAGATGGTAGAGAGATAGAGAGAGAGAGAGAGAGAGAGGGGGGGAGGGAGAGGGGGAGGGGAGAGGGGTAGATAGAAAGAAAGTGATACAAATATAAGAAGAGTGTGGAGTGTGAATGTATGAAGCGTGCGCATTAAGAAACGCGTTTGCAAATCCCTTAAAACGTCTAAAATAGTAATTGATTAAAATGTACACGGTAGTGGTGGTCAGTTGCGGCGCTCCCGAGGGGCAAGGGGGCAACGTGTTCCTCCATTTTACAAGTACCCTAAAAGTTCCCAGTTGTATATAGGAAAAGTGCCTCTTTGACTTTATAAAAAGTCCCCTCTTTACATTGGAAAAAGTTTTTTTTTAAATAACTTTTACAAGTGCTCCTATAACTTTGTAAAAGTGCCCCTTCCCCTTTTCACCTCTGATAAGTGCCCCTTATCCTTCGAAATGTCCCCCTTTTTATTTGCAATAAGTGTCCATCCTCATAAGTGCCCCTTTTCACTTTTGATAAGTGCCCTCTTTTAAAATAAAAGAGCCCTTTGCCCTTCTCATAAATGCCCCTTTCGCCTTTAAAAAGCCTACTTTGTCATTCTCACACGTGCCCCTTTCATCTCTGGTAAATTACGTTTTTCAGATACTAGAAGTTACCCTTTCTACTTCAGATAAGTACCCCTCCCCTCCGATAATTGCCCCTATTCTAATCTGAGAGATGCTCGTTATATTTTGTCAAGTGCCCCTTTCCCCTCCTGAAAAGGGCTCCTTCCATCTACGATGAGTGCCCCTTTTTCACTTCTAATAACTGCCCCTTTTATTTTGACACTTGCCCCTTTTTCCTTTACATTAAATGCTCTTTTTCAAACTAATGAGTGCCCATTCCCCTTCTCATAATTACCTCTTTTCATCTCTGATAAGTACCGGTTTAATTTAACATGTGCTTCTTTTTCTTTTTAATAAGAGGCATTTCCCCTTTCTCATAAAAACCTCCGATAAATGACCATATGAAGTTCTGATCGGTGCCCCTTTTTTTTCAACAAATGCACATTTTCCTTTATCATAAGCGCCTCTTTTTCATTCTCATACGTGCCCCTTTTCATATCTAGTCAATGCCCTTTTCAGGTGCGATAAATGCCCCGATTCACCTCTGATAATTTTCCTTTTAACAATGTTCCTGCCCCTTTTCCTTTCTAATAAGGGACCTTTCCCCTTTTAATAAATGCCTCTATTCACCTTTTATTTATAAATGCCCCTATCAAAATTTGAAGACACTCAGGGCAGGGGATGCCTTCAGACCACCAAGTAGGATCTCTGCTCCGAGGAAATGAGGTGTTTCTGCAATCACCAGTATGGTCAGCTGTCTGGAGCAGGCGCGTACGCAGGGGGGGGGGGGGGGGGGGGGGGGGGGGGGGGGGGGTAAGAGGACACTTTTTTTTTTTTTGGTCGAAATTTGAAAATTTGACATTTGGCTCCGTTGGGGGGGGGGGTAAGGTCACCTTTTTAGGTCAACCATGGGAATATTTTATTTTATTTTTTATTTTTTATTTTAATAATTATTAATTAATTTTAATTTAAAAAAAAATTTAAAAAAATGGGGGGGGGGGGGGGGTTTACACACAAAAAAATACCAAAGGGGGGGTTAACCCCCTAACCCCCCCCCCCCCCTGTGTACGCGCCTGGTCTGGAGCCACCATGTAATGGGAAGATGATGGTCTCCAAGATGTCCGACCTTATCCCTTGGGCGGAGACGAGGTGCAGCATTGAACTTGGAAGAGGTGTCGCAGGAACTGTCTTCCTCTTCCGTCACGCAGTCTCGAAGATCCCCGTCGCTGCCAAGCTCGTGGAATACCCAGGAGAGTGCTTCAGAAACGAGGTCAGGATTCATCAAGCAATCAGTGGCCTCCCATGGTTTCCTACCTTCTATGGAAGCTTTGACATCGCAGATGACCAGACAGTTTTGGCCATGGAGTTCGTTGGAAATAAGTCCGAGGATCGTAGCTATACACCGATCTCACCAGAGATGAGTGGTTTAATGTCCTCAATGATGTTGCAGAAGGACTGAAAGCGCTCCATTCCAATGGATTCCTGTGTAATGATCTCAAAGAAGACAACGTACTGGTTGTCGAGGAGTCTGGACTCTGGCAAACCAAGATCATCAACCTGGGATGGGCTTCTGAAATCGCCACTCCTTTTGTAATGCCTCTGGATGAAGAGCAAATTGATTTCTACCGTAGCTGCCGAGGGTGTTGCCATATTGCCCCTGAATGCGTGTTGGACGCCAGGCCCTGCTCAACATCCAGCGATGTCTACTCCTTAGGTAGATTGCTAGCATCCATAGGTCGCGCCATGAGGTATGATGATTTCGAGTTTTCGAGTACGCAAATCTACCTGGCTGATGAAGAACAGAGGCCAACTGTGCAAGAAATCATTGACCAACTTTACAAAATGCGGCTGGCAGCAGAAGGGGAGGATGGCCCCGGGTCATCCTCTTGTTAGTTTATTTATCGGAAGGGGATTGGGAGAAGGGGGAAGGGCAAAATCATTTATAGCAGACACTGTAGCATATTTAACTTGAATGTAGAACTTGTAGAACTGCAGGAGGAGAAGGACTAGTGGATAGGGGGACTGAATCCAGAACTGGTCTATAGTATATAGATTGATAAAGGAAAAGAAGCATGATGGAGTAGAGATAACATTCAATATAAAGAACGATTTAGATGGAAAGTTTGATAAAATCAATGAAGACTGTATCGGGGCAGAGAAGATGTTGGAGGGAAAGGAGCAGGAGCAGGAGCAGCAGGAGCTAGAGGTGAGAAAGGGACGGGCCCGATGACAACCGCAGGGCAAGAAATGGGGGGAAAACTGGAGAAAGACACAAGTTGTTGTATTCATAGAGACAGCACAGAAGAAGAGGAGATGTAGGAGGAGGAGAAGGAAGAGGAGATGAAGGTGGAGGAGGAAGAGGAGGAGATAAAGATGAAGGAGATGATGATAGAGGAGCAGGCCTAAGAATAGCTGCAGGCCGAGGATTGGCAGATTAGAAATAGAAGTAGAATTTATTATGCTGTATATATTGTACAAATTATTAAATAATTAAATAAAAAATATACATATTTAATTCACGCTTGTTCCGTTTGTTTTTATTCTTACGTTTTTATGAAAGGGAAGCAAGAATTGGTGGCAAAGAGAGAGAGAGAGAGAGGGGGGGTGTAGAGAGAGGGACTAGCGGGGCATTGCAAGAAAGTTGAGTTGCAATCGATTGCAAAGATCAGTTGCAAATTTGCTTTCAATAGATGCAGCAAAACAAAAGAAACAGAGCCAAAAAAAATTAAGTAAAATCAGATAAATAATGAGAAAGTTTTTTGTTGTTGTAAAGTATGAAAAGCTATGGAAGTTAGAAAACCACAAAATTAATTGCCAATTTGGTTTTCAGTTTGTGACATCATTGCCTCACTATTTATCAATTGCTTTATATATTTTTATCCCATTAATTTCCCTTTTTATCCAGAAAAAACTTGATTTCCCCACGATTTTGCCAGGTTATATGATTTGTATCATATTGCATGCATGACATTCTTATTTTTAGTGTCATATGAAAGAAGAGAAATCAAGCTTTTCATTGACGTAAACATTAATAAAAGCATAAAACAGGATCATTGAGCAACTTTAATTTCCTTTATTTTTTAGCAGACACCCTGTATTACAACTCTTCTTCCAACACACATACGCACTCACCACGAGTTCACACATATACAACTGTACATGTATCTCAAAGCTGTACACAACAAAAGCTCAACATATAGTGATCAAATTAAAAGTAAACACTTTTGTATTTGCAACAAAAATAATTCACAACACCCGACTACTCCTTTAAAGAATTAGTAAGTCCCAAAAGTATAGATAAATATTCCCCATAAAAGTGATCATATTGATCATTGTGGATAGTATTGATGTGCACACAACCATTATGCAAGTCAGAAATAAGTTAGATTTAATATATGTATTATGTATCACTAAATATAATATAATGATTGATTATACCTTTACAGAGACTGTGAAAATAAAGAAGTTGGAACATGATTCATTTTTTATGATGAATAATCATGTTGCTTATGAGCAGAATATAGGTTTACACTCTTGGTTATCAATATTTAGGAAACTTTCAGTTTGGAAATTAGTGATACCTTTGTATCTTCAGCATAGCAAGGTAAAGCAGTCACATATTTCAGTTAGGCATTGCTTGCTTATTCATACTCTTTCCCCCAACATTGATTACAATATTTGAAGTACCCATTTTCTACTCCTGAGTGGAGAGAGACAAATGTGGATAGAATACCTTGTGTAGGGGCATACAAACAGATTCGTAATCTCAGCATCTTGACTGAAAACCTGGGGGGCCTTTCACAAAAGTTGTTATCAGTGACAAATGACAATTTGTGTTATAAGCTACTGAAATCCTTGCTTCTGATTGGTTATCAGCAGATTTGTTACTGATTTGTGTTATTTGTCATTGAAAAAAGGCTTTATGAATCGCCCCCCTGGTGAATGGATCACTCGTCTCAATGCAATTAAAATAATCACTTTTCATTGATTAATGTCAGCAGTGAAGATAATTGATTTTTAGTATATTTCAGAAGAACAGCTCCAAAAAAGGGAAATGTTAATACTTTTCTACCACAAGTTAGTGTACCATTGCTGCCATGTCCTCATTAAATGCCTCTGCGCATATATTCATGACTGCAGGCAGTCGCTAACGAAGAATCTTTTGAAGATTCCACAGACAGATGTATAGAGTCACATTTAGCAAAGAGAGTAATCCAGTACATACAATTCCTTACACATGATGAATATGTATCACAATTCACCAACATTTCTTACCCAAAGTACACTTTTGCCTTTCACACATAGCCTAAATACTGGTGCTGAGGAACAGAGAGAAGAGTATGACATCATTTAACTCATTGAGTAATGAACTGTTGTAACTATCTCTCTCTCAATGGGCTACGGTACTGATCATAAACACGATTTAAAAACTAGATATCTGATTCCAAACATTTGTGCTTGTTTTCAATAATGCTCGTGTCTGATACAGACCATCAAAAGTAGAATTTTTCTCCCTGCTTCAAAATATAGAGAATACATGAATTTACCTTTTCCATATATGATTTTTACTCTGTCTATTTGACTCTTAGAGACATTGATAAATATGTGATATGCACTACCTATACAAAAACAAAGCATTATCATGATTATTACTATTTTCACCTGAGGTAGTGCAAGTACGAGGGTATGATCAAACTCTATCAAAGTCATATAAACTGTGCAGTGTAAAATGCTATTCCACAGTAGTGTGAATAGCCTAAGACGTGATCGAATGGTTTTCACTTTACAATGGTATGCGCTGCATTAGATGAACGCACGAACTGGGAAATGTGTGATGAATGATTTATATAAATCAGGTTTGCAGACTAAACAATTAACTCAAACTGGCAACAAACTTCCGGAGAGAAGATAAAAGCCTTGAGAATCATGGCGGGACTTCTAATGAGCTGAAGCAAGCACACAGAGAATGGTGTCCCTTTTGTTTTTATGCACTTCTGTTCACACACAATTTCTACTGCACGTACAGGACTACGGTATGCATGCTTAACATGCACAGCATATGGTCTGAAATGAAGAAAACACCTGGGGGAGGGAGGCGTTTCACAAAGCCTTTATTCAATGACAAATGACAATAATGTGAGACAAATCTGCTGATATCCGATCAGAGGCAAGGATTTCAGTAGCTTATAACAAAGACTGTCATTTGTCACTGATGACAAGTTTTGTGAAACGGGTCCCAGGGCTCACATTCATTTAACATTACTAAGCTACTCATCAACTGATTACATCAGCTATAGTACATAGTTAGTTGACAACGAGGCTTAGCAATGTTTTATGAATAAGAGTCCTTATACCAAATTGCCACTACAGCAATGTTGTAGAAATTTTTGACTGAAATTATTTTTTGTAGTAAGAACAATGAATGAATACATGACCATGTAACATTATTTAACCTATACTTATGCTTACATACTTCAACTTATTTTGTACAAACACGATAGTCTTGAAATGAAAGAAAAAGGGAAAAATCAACTACAGAGGTCTACCAGATGGATGTCTCGCATACAGAAGGGCTCCCTCTACTCAGGTACCTGTAAAGGTGAAACACACAAGAAGAACGGGCAAATGTTAATATTCACATACAAATATATCAAGTACATGGAGCAAAACGAAAAATATAAAAGACCTCATTAGATAACAGGGGAAGATGTACCTTTAACAGATAGCGAGAACTAATTTCTCTTTATATAGAACCAGCTTTAATACCCATAACAGTTCAGTGTCAGCTTTTAAAGGCATCGTTTAACAATGTTAAATCTGAGATGCATAGCCCTACGTGTTATCAGTGTCTGTGATATGGTGTATCAGACATCTGAGCAGGGCAATTTTTAAATGTTATTGCCTTCGAGGTAAGCCAACAAAACTACAGACGAAACAAATATTATTGACCGCTCAGAAAAGTAAATGGGATTTTGTGTGTAATTTGCCAGTCAATACAGTTATACAGTAAACCAATGAACAAATATTATTTCCCGATCTGAAAAGTCAATGGGATTTTGTGTGTAATTTGCCGGTCAATACGGTTATACACTAAACCAATGAACAAATATTATTGCCCGATCTGAAAAGTCAATGGCAAAATGCATGTTAAACTAGTGAGCAATAATATAGAGCCAGTTGTAATTTACATCACGCATCACGTATAAGAAAATGCGCACTATGCGCCAACTCTATTGTGATGTAACAATCACACCCTAGGCAGACTGTTTTGCAGTGTATCGAAAATTCGCCAAACACTGGATGCACAGTGCTGGTTTGACGATGTTTGTGCAACTTCTAATGTTAGGAAACCCTGTGCAGTGTAGGCTACATAATTTAAGAGTATAAGATAGTAAGAGTTTCTTGTTTGCTCTAGATGTCTGATGTGGTTAATAATAGTAATATTGACTGCCTAATTCAGGGCAATACGATTTGTCATATATCACCCTCACCTTCGGTTCGGGCGATATGTGTTGTATTGCACAGAAGGCAGTCAATATTACTTAAATATTGAAGCCCTAAAAAAATTGTGCTTCAAAATGATCATGAAGTGTCTCAAAAAAGTAAAAATCTTTGAGTGACCGGTTTTACCATACTCATTTTACCCGATAGACTGTAGTTTTATAGAAACCGTTAGGAAAACAAAAAATTAAATTTCCATTTCCAATCATAAATATCTTGATAATCAGACAGGCGATCAGCTTGTAAAAGTCATGGGGTTCCTGACTGACCTAAAGGTTTATGATTATGATTGCAGCATGAGCTAAATCCAGAATTTTGTTTCAGAATCTGAGACAAAGTTACCGGATCCCTTTAAGGATGTTCTTGCATTATCTCAGTGGTAGGGCAGTGGTCTTTATAGACAGGTGGCTGCTAAAGCCAGTTTGATGACCAGTGATAACCTTTCCTGGCCATCCCACTCACTCGAACACTTAAAATAATTCACTTTCTTTTTCTTCATAATAACGTAAGAAAACTACTGTAAAAGATTTCTATGTCATGGTATATGATACATCTTATGTATGTTAAGTTATTTTTATTCTTTGTATGTTTGTAAAATGTGAGCAAAACAAATATATCAATACCGTAAATCTCCGTGTTTAAGATGCACTTTTTCCCACCGAAAAAAAATTCGAAAGTCGGGGGTGTGTCTTTTTTTCTTTTTCTTGGCCCAAAAAATAGGGGTGCGTCTTATACACGGAGATTTACGGTATATCAATTATCAATTATATCGGACAATAAATTGAAATGAAATGAATAACTTACAGCTTTCTTGAGTGCTTGCTCCAGGTCTTGGATGATGTCTTCGGTGTCCTCCAGTCCTACAGAGAGCCTGATGAGACTGTTGTCAATGCCCAGCTCCTTACGCTGTTCAGGAGGTACAGAGGCATGGGTCATGACCCCACTGCAATGTCAAGGAGAAAGAAGAAGTGTAGGAGAAGTGTCAGTGGTCTAGCAGAAAAGTTATCTGAGTATGTTACATGAGGTTCAAATCAGTGTCACTGAAGGTCGAGGGTTCGAATCCTGACACGGCACTAAAATCCTTTGGCAGGTGATATAAATGGGTACCTAGCAGGAAATAATTCCTTGAAATGCCAGAGCACTGCAGTGGCTGCCTTGCTAAATCCAGGGGAATAATCGGGCAACGCCAGGAGCGTCACAATGTGACGGACATGTGCGCTATATAAGAAGCCACCATTATCATTATTATTCTTATTATTATTAACCTGCACTTGCTACTCTCCACCCAGGTGTTAAAATGGGTACCCGGTAGGATGCAACCATCATTGTTGGTCAAACAGTTTTTGAGCGTCAAGTAACGCCTGGCTGGAATGCTCCCCAGGGAGTGGAGATTGTGCACACCATGTGTGCGGGCAAGTATTGAATCCAATGACTGGGGTAATAGTACATTTGTAAAGTGCTTTATAGAGACATCATAGATGTTTTAAGCACTATATAAAAGCAGAATATTATTATTATTATTAACCAACTTCCTTCAGGAAGACATGAATCTATGATTGCCACTCTCAACACGGGTGAAGTAAATAGTGTCAGTGGTCTAAGCAGAAAAGCTACCTGACTTTGGAGTATGTTACATGACTGAGGTTCAAATCAGTGTCACTAAACCAAGTTCCTTTGAGAAGACATGAATCTACAATTGCCACTTTGTATGACCCTTTGATCTTTGACATTATGACCCTAAAATCAGTTCATTGGCTCTGCAAGATACATACAAGTTCTGAGTTTGATGGTAATATGTCCATTGGTTCTAATGATGTGATCATGAGCTATTTTTGCATACATGATGAGCCCTGTGACCTTTGACCTTGTGACCCCTAAATCTAATCAGTTCATTAGCTCTGCCAGATACATATACGACCCAAGTTTGGCAGGAATCCATCTACCGGTTCTTGAGAAAGCGCGATCACGAGAACAGGACGTACGGACAGACGGATGGTTGGACAACCCGAAAAAAAACATAATGCCTCCGGCCACTTCGTAACAGAGGCATAAACAAAACTTACGGTAGTTCAGCGAGTGATTCGTATCCTCCGAGACTCTCTGCCAGCGTGAAGACCTTGACGCTCTGGAGGAATGTCTTGGAGTTCTCCAGATCACCCTTGAGATAGAAGGTCACCATCCCTCCAAAGCCTTTCATCTGCTTCTTGAAGATATCATGCTGTGGATGGCTTGGAAGACCTTTATCAAAGAGGAAACAAATTTTAAATGAATAATAATCACAACAATTACAATAACACAATTATTAAAGATATAGACCGGTAGTGGTAAAATTGCGGTTCAAGGGTTTCGGGTGCAAAATATCCATTCAATATTGTTTAAATATTGCCTTCAGAGGTTTAGATGACAATACTTCAACCTAAATTTGCAAACAAGGGAAACGCTCTCGGCGGTCTCGCCTACATAATGCAATTCAATATGATAAACCAGAACGTCAATGACCTAGCGCTCATCCGCATCTCGCAACAACAAATATCGTAAATTTTATGTGGTACACTTTTGAACTGGTCAAAAAATAAAAATCTGATGCCCTGGAAGGGACATAATTTCATTTCATTTGCATAAAGTACCATAAATAATCAATGGAGCAAAATCTCACAATTCTGTGTAGAAGTTTAGTGTTCAAAATTTAGCTCTACCAGATCAGGCAAACCAAATCAAAATCAGTCAAGAAATGAGGGAAAAGAAGCAATTTTGTTATTTTTGGAATAAATTTGCATAAATTACCATAATTCATTAATGGAGAACAATTTCAAAATTCTGTGTAGAAGTTTAGTGTACCAAAATTAGCTCTACGATATAAAGCAAACCAAATCAAAATCGATCGAGAAATGAAGGAGAAGAAGCCTTTTTTGTGATTTCGAATAAATTTGCATAAATAAGCATGGATAATGAATTTCAAGATTCTGAGTAGAAATTTTAAATCCCTCTCCTAGCCCTATCATATGAAACAATCAGAATCAAAATCGGTTGAAAAATAACGAAGAAAAAGCATTTTGAAAATCTTGATGTTGATGCCACAACAAAGTCTAAGTTTGTTGACCTTCAATGACCTTTGACCTTAACTTAGTGACCTGAAATTCTACTAACATGATTGGGGAGACTTGATAACCATATAGTCCAAGTTTCATTGACTAAGAAATTATACTTTCAAAATTATATCAAAAATTCAAAAACTTAACCTTAGGTAATGTTTTCGATGATGATGCTACAACATAGTCCAAGTCTGTTGACCTGAAATAACCTTTGACCTTGACTTTGTGATCTGAAATTTTTTGAAGTTTTTGATGTTGACGCCGCCGACGCCGCCGTCGCCGCCGTCGCCGTCACCGGAAAAGCGGTGCCTATGTCTCGCTTTTTGCTATGCAGGCGAGACAAAAAGCACAAATATATGCCCAAATGTTCAATTTTGAAGTGCATTCGCGATATGATAATTTACCAAATATATCAATTAGTAGGCGGTTTCCCTTCAAAATTTGTATCATCACGTATTAGTCAAAACATATTCTTTCACATGATTGGTAATAAGAGCTTCCATTTCATTTTTTGCAAGGGGGGAGTTTCCAAACTGGTCTATACCTTTAAAAGCGCATTAGATTAGCCAGGGTAATTATGCTGCATTATTGTAGAGCGCTTAGAGACTTCTGACAAAGTAAGTGTTAGGCGCTATATAAGCACTGTAATTATTTATTATTTATTAGATGATTACTTTGACATGCTTTATGATGATATTATTATTCCCCCGAGGCACTGGATTTCAACCCCAATACACAAGTAAGCAGTATCTCCACTCCTTGGGGACTATTCCCACCCTCCTGTACCATTCATGTGCTGTACCATTCATGTGCAGGCCAATAGGGCAGCAGCCAAACAGTTACACTGACTTCCTGCAATCCTCATAGATACCAATCATCTCCCGGATGGAGAGTGGCAATGCAGATTAATGTCTTGCCAACTGTACCTTGTTATTGATAGCAAGTTACATAAAACACTTTATCAATAACAACGGTTATAAGACGGGTTCTAGAATGTAAGCAATCTGATTGGTCAATTGACATCACATGGGCCTGTATTAGTTCTTCCCATCGTGCAAAACATCTTCCATAAAAAACAGATAACACACGCTCGATACCTGCCAATATCGCTTTCGCGTAATTCAGCCAAATTTAATTTGTGCATAATTTTCAATATCTAGAATATTCTGGACCTAGATCTAGTTAGATCCAACTTAGATCTAGATCTAATATCTATCTATACTCTAGATCTAGACTATATTGTAAGAAAGCATTGCTGACCCATCTTATAAAACAATTGATGTGATAGAAATTTAGTATACAAATAATGCACTGTTTCGCTCGTGTGTTAGCGCAGTTCCAGTGCACTCAGTTTAGTCAGTGCGATATCGATAACGCACTTGCCCTGCGGGCGCGTGCGTTATCGCCTCATGCACTGACTAAACTTCGTGCACTTGCCTTGCGCTAACACACTCGCAACAGTGCATTATTTGTATACTAAATTTCTATCACAAATTTGCTCTCAGCCAATCAAATGCCACGACTTCAGTAGCTTATAAGAGTTATTGCAACTTCTTATTGATAACAAGGTTTACCTGGATAGATGACCTTGCGAACCCTAGGATTGCTCTCTAGGTATCTAGCGACGGCGATACCGCTCTTGTAATGCTGCCTCATCCTGACGTGAAGAGTCTTCAGTCCTCGGTTGACCAGGAAACAATCAAAAGGTGATGGACAGCTACCAGCAGCTACAAAATCACACACACAAAAATGCTTGATTCAATCAGATTGTTTGTTTTATAATAAAATTCAATGGGAATTCTTTTGTATTAAAGGGATTGGGTATCTTTGCCTCAGATTTTAATATCCTGGATTTAGCTCATGTTGCAATCATAATTATGATCATTTAGGTCAGTCAGGAATCCCATGACTTTTACAAGCCGATCGCCTGTCCGATTATCAAGATATTTATGATTGGAAATCGAAATTTCATTTCACGGTTTTTATAACACTACAGTCTATTGGGGAAAATGAGTATGGTAAAACCGGTCACTCAAAGATTTTTACTTTTTTAAGGCACGTCATGATCATTTTGAAGGGCAATTTTGCTAAGGCTTCAATATTACACCATATTACAGAAACTGATAGCATGTAGGGCCATGCATCATAGATTTGAAAAACTGGAAACATTGTTAAACAATGCCTTCAAAGCAAGAAGTCTATTAAGCGGGATTAAGAACTAATATTTTGAATACAGTACATAATGATCCATGATTTCATTTGTTCAACATTCATAAACGAGTAATTCTGCTGTAACAAGAGAAGTCTATCAGCTATGTGTAGATTCTAAAAATCAATGATTTCCAGAATACACACTATTGCCTATAAACATAAGCTTTCATATTTTGGGGACCCACTATTCACTCCACGTTCTATTCCCTCAAAGTATTGCATTTAGATTTTCATTGTTGCAAATATTGTTTTTGGACCATTTCCTGTTTTCTAAGTCAAAATTTGCTTGGCGGTATTAACCCCCCAACCCTGACTGCAACTAAGTTGCTCTTCTTCATTCAAAATCAAAAAGAACAAAAGTTGAGTGCATACCATAAACTATACATGACCTTTAACAGGGACCTGGTTCACACATACCCCCAAATATCCCACTTTGAACCCTCAGAATAAACTGTTACGGCTCGTTCAGATTGATGCAAAAACGTGGCGTTTTTTTTTAATGATGTTAGGTGTTAAACGCTTCACATTTCTGTATGTTATAACACAGAGCTCATTAAATACATGCAAGTCCTTTGTGCCACATTCCCCATTCATTAAAGTTAAAGGTGAGTTCTGGTAATGCGATTGCATTGTGAAAGAAAAGGTGTGGAATGGATCAGAAAAAGTTGATCATGTAGCATATAAGTTTTGGTGTGTGCTGCAAGGTTCTGGAGTCATCAAAATGATAATAAATTTGGCCCAGTCTTGGTAAAGTAACAACCACTGTAAATAGAAAGATGTATATGGGACTACACAAATGGTGTCGAGGCTAGCACACCTTGATTTCCTTATCTTTCTATGCTCATTACTCAGCCAGTATACACTTTCTTCAAAAAATTTTTGGCACATGACATTTATTTGTAATCTTGAACATTCAGTGTAAGTTTTGTTTGATTCTGTGAGAATTCATTTTCTTTTCTTACCAGAACTCAAGTTTAACTTTAAATGTAGCAGTTTTTTGGGTGGCAGCAGTTTTCCTGTGCTCTATATCTGAACGAGCCTTTATTGTACAGCCCTGCACTTACCATAGAGCTGAAAGTGAAGCTTCTTGTGGAGTTCATCGTCGTTGCATGCAACAAGACCCATGACAACATCGGAATGTCCATTCATGTACTTGGTGGCCGAGTACATGACAATGTCTGCTCCAAAGTCCAGTCCTCTCTGTATTCAATTAAGTTCAATTTGATTTGATTCACTTTCAATTCTTATTCCAATTTAAATATTCAATTCAAATATTCAATTCAAATATTCAATTCAAATTTTCAATTCAAATATTCAATTCAAATTATATTCTCCCTTTTCTGTTTCAATCTATTCTAGTCTATCAAATTTCAATTATATTTCATTCCATTTCATTCCATTCTATACAGTTCATTTCTATTCTATTCATCTTATTTCAAATCAATTTTTCATGTTTCAATTCTCGCTACCCTAAATAGGTACGAAAATCTCGAAATTCGCGAGACGAGGTAATTTTCACTCTCTCGGGTCGTCACTACAACTTCCGGTATAGAGTCCCATCCCGCTGGCGCTAGCGCCTGTGTTCGCTGTGCAGAGTTTTCACGCATGCTAAAATCGATGCCAATCAGTGTAATTTGTACAGATTATAATATGCAATGGAAAGCTTCGGGCAGAATTAGTGACTTTAGCACAAAAGGCCGTTAAACTCTACCGTGAAAGAGAGGGTTGTGATCACGAACGCCTGCACAGGAAGCTGTAATGTCGAAAAGCTGGATTTTCCCCGGATCTCGGCAGAATCGCTATTTGGGGTAGCGAGAATTCTATTCCATTTCAATGGATTTTTAACCCAATTCCATTCAATTCAACACCCTTCAACTCTACCCAATTCTATTCTTTCCGAATAAATTTGTCAATGCTTACATTAATATGCTCAACTTTTTCAGAGAGCTAATACTTCTCTGACAGACACTGAAATGGCATATAAATTGATATTATTTTAATCTATAGCTTATAAGCTTTCAGTTGATAAATAATTCATCTATTTCATTTTTGAGTTTGGATATGGTCTTTAACTATAAACTTTAACACACAGGTGACGCCCTTCTGGATCTTAACAAACAATATGAGCGACAAAGAGATCACCCCTTTGCCGTCGTCTGACTAACCTGGAAGTAAGGTGAACTGAAGGTGTTGTCTGCTACTACGATGCAATCGGGTTGTTGATGGGCAATGGCGCTGACCGCTGCGATGTCCACTAGCTTCAAGGTTGGGTTGGTGGGAGTCTCGACCCATACAAGCTATACAGAGAAGAACAACAGGTGGTTGGTTTACAATAGATTTTTAAAAGAACATATTTCAAAGTTAATTTTTTTCTCTGCAATTAAACTGCTCCTTTTCCCAATTTGGATTCTTCCAATTAAATTCCATGCACTTTAATGGAATAATATTAATTGCTAATACCTACTGCGATTAAAAAAAAATACAGAATTTTAAACCCTTAAGTGTTGCCATTTTGGAAATTCAGATGCCTAGTGTTAAGTAAATGGTCAATTAAAATCTCTTATGCTCTTCAAAGTCAACAAAAATATGAAAGGACTTCTTCTCATGCATGCTTCATAATTATAAGCCCACCTACTCCCCCCCCCCCCCCCCCCTCCAATAAAACCCACGATCTACAGCCTATTTACAGACACTTTCAGAGTATGGCCCTGTTTCTATTTGGGGACGTCTAAGGTATAAAGTCATTTATTGTCCTATATCTTACCAAGTATTGGGAAATTATGAATATAAATGGACATTAATTGACATATAATCTGTAATTTTAGATACTTTGTCTACTCTAAGGGGCAAATAGGGTTGGACTTGTCCATTTACCGAGGCCCCAGTAAAGACTTGTTCATCGAGGGTTCAGTGACAAGAAGACGTAACTCCATATTTTGCTAAAATAAGTATTTGATATCAAAATATTCAGAAAAATGTGGGCTTTCCAGGAAAGACTTAACTCCACCCAACACCCCATTGAAGTCAATGGGTAGTGAAACATAGACGTAACTCCTTAAGGCCCAAGTGCTCAGTGATACTTAAACCACTTTTTCTCAAAATGGTCAAAATGGATTTACGTTTTTGTGTCACTGACCCCTCGACATGTACCTTGGTGTTCTCTTGCATGGCCGCGGCGACCTTCTCGGGGTAGCGGGCATCGACGAAGGTCACCTTGACGCCAAATTTAGAGAGGACCTTCTGGAAGTAGCGGTTGGTTCCTCCGTAGATGTCATCCATAGCGATGAGATGGTCACCCATCTTCAGTAGGTGGCAGATGGCCGTGGTAGCGCCCAGACCGGAGCTGAAGGCAAGGGCTATATCCGGGAGGAGCAGAGGAAGAAACTACTAGTAATGATAATATTAAGGGTACGTTCTTGTATAACGCCCATGTCTTTCACGCCATGACACTCCTACCACTCCTGGGGGTGTTTCACAAAGATTCTTAGTCAAACTTAACTCTAAGTTGGACTCAAAAGTTATGGATAGCCATTTGTAGCCTTAAAATAAAATATATTCAAAAGCAAATACTCAAGTATTTTAGACTTTTCATAAATTCCACATCAAGAACATGAAATCTCCCATGATAATTGAAAATATGAATGATTTGAATCAACATTTTATGCCTTTTAGAATAACTTGTACAAAATATTTCAAAGGTGCTAACGGCTTTCCATAATTTTTAAGTCCAACTTAGAGATAAGTTCAACTTAGCATCTTTGTGAAACAAAGACTAAGACCGACTTTAAGTTGGACTTCATAATGGCAGGCAGTTCATGCCACTGTTTAATCTCACCATTATGATCTTTAGATAATATTTTATCTTCAGTAATGAATTATCAAACAAAGTAAATTCTGTAGATTTGTGACCATGATTTGTACGTCCCTTGAGAGACCAATGCCAGTAAGTGGTGAGAGCAAACAGTGGCATGAACGGCCTGCCATAGTTACATTGTAAGTCCAACTTAAAGTCAATCTTGGTCTTTGTGAAACACTCCCCCTGGAAAACCAGCCCTACCATTATCCTGTTCATAGCCCAGCAGCATTCTAGCATATCCGGTACCTATATAAACCTGAGTGGAGAGTGGCAAACATGGATCTGTATATAGCCATTGGATGCTGCCATCTCATTTGAGCAATATATTTGAATTATGGTATGGTCACAAAGGTTCGTACGAACATCGTTCTTACGGCGTTCGTAGCAGTTCGTAATGGCATTTGTGACTGAGGCTTTATATGCATACATTTTTTTAGAAAATTCAGAAAAAAAGCCTCTTCAAGACTTAGGTTTACAGGAACTCTATCTCTGTGATAACAGCATCATGATTCTTCTTGCTGTGTCTGTCAAACATGCATTGCAAGCATATTGATTACACATGTGAGCCCTGAATTTTAAATAACCCTTCCTCTGTAAAGTAAAACCAGGTTAAAGTAATAGGTGTGTCTAGACTCTACAGTCCGAGGACAGGTAATCTGGCCTATTGTCCTTTGTCCAGCAGACCACGATTCTCAGGATATTCTTAACCAGATATCTCGCTAATTGCAACTGCGGGCTGATGAAGCCGCAAATTAACTGGTTAGTTGCGATCGGGATAGTTAGACTAGCGGGTTATTTGGCTAAGTCGAGCTGATGAAGACAGGCCTTCTGTCAGTCACTCACCATGCTTAGCGCCTTCAATGGCTGCCACACACTTCTCCAGAACTGTCCTTGTTGGGTTTCCTCCCCTCGAGTATTCATAACCCTGAAAGATAGATGCAACAATCAACATATGTTATCCATTAATAATCTACAGATGTACAACAGTTAAAGGTAAAGACCAGTTTTGGAACCCCCCCCCCCCCCCCCCCCCTCTCAAAAAATGAAATGGAAGCTCTATTACCAATCATGTGAAAGAATATGTTTTGGCTAATACATGTACGTGATGATACAAATTTTGCCGAGAAACCGTCTACTAATTGTTATATTTGGTAAATTATTATATCCATTTGGACCTGATGGACATCGCGCACGTGTCGTGAACGTGTCCCATTTACATCTTTCTGTGTAGGGTGCTTATAACTTTACCAAGACTGGGCCAAATTTTTGATCATTTTGATGATTCCAGAACCTTGCACACCAAAACTTACACTGTATATGCTACATGATCAACCTTTTCTAATCGATTCCACGTTTCTTTCACAATGCAATTGCATGACCAGAACTCAACTATATCTTTAAACAATTTGAGACAGGTAAATGTAGTTAACTGTAAAAGAAGTAGTCCAAGGTATTTGGTCATTTGGTGTCCTAAACATCGCAAATTATTGTAGAGTTCTGAACATGTATTGACATCAAATGTTTGAAAAACCCTGAAAGAAAGATGCAACAATGAACACATGTTAGCCATTAATACACAGATGTACACCAGTTACAATTGGAGAAAGGTACATGTAGTAAACTGTAAAAGAAGTCCAAGGTATTGGGTTGTTTGATGTCCTAAAAATTACAAATTATCAAAGAGTTCTGAACATGTATTGACATCAAATGTGTCTTTTTATTTTGTATTTGGTCTGACAAAAGCTCTAGTACTAGTCGTTACCTCCTAATAAAACAGAAACCTTGTTTGTCCCCCTTTTTTCATATCATTGTGTGGAGAAAAAACACATTAAAGTTGACTCATGATCTAATGATATACACACATACTATACATGTCTATGTGTGGGTCTAATTATCTGCTACCTGCACTATGCTAGCAGGTGTGCTCTGGAATATCCAACAAAGAACACATAGGCACTATGACATGACTGACAAAGAAAGCGGACAAAATATACAGTTCCTCTTGTAGACAAAGGAACATCCCTTCACTGCTATTATGTAAAAATGTGTAGAACAGGTGTCACATGCATATTCACCTTTTTACATAATAGCAGTGAAGGGATGTTCCTTTATCTACCTGAGGAACTGTATATTTTGTCCGCTTTCTTTGTCTGTCATGTTCATAGTGAAGGATAAGTTGTGTCAGAATTATAAGCAAGAGCGTGTGGATTTATAATGGTCCATTGGTGCTCATTTTAAGTTGAAATGTAATTGATCAAGCCAATGTACTGCTATATGTACAATATTACTCCACTTCATGGTACTGTACATACAGTAAGTAAGAAGTCAGTTTGCAAACATGGAAACAGCAGGTTTCATTTTCCCTTTGTTTTAAATGAAGATAGTACATGTAGGTACATACTGGTCATTACACAGGTGGGTATTGGGGGGGGGGTCGTTTCTCATTTTATTTTTGTTATTGTATTTGTTTTTGGTTTATTTTATTTCCTTTTTTAAACTTTTTTTTTTTTAATAGAAAGTAGGTCTTTTGCTATCAGCAACAATGAATGTTTGCTATCTATTTCCCTTGCTTAAAAATGGCATTAACCTGCAAAGACATGACAATATAACAGTAAATTAATCAACTTGTGATCAGGCCCGACAGATTTGATTGTTTTGGATAAATTATGCCCCCCTTTAAAATTTGTGTTAATTATAATTCACTCCTAAATCAGTGACTTATAATAGAATATATAGTTGGCCAAAAGTGGCATCTCTTAAGAAATACCCCCCCCCCCCCCTTTTGGAGAATGGAAGAGTCCTAGACATCTTAATTGATGAGGAGAAACAAAGGAACAGAGTGCTGGTGATGCCATGTGTCATTCTACATGCTGACACCAATTACACCACAAGTAACTGTTTTCTTCTCTTCATTTTATTATTCTAGGTAAGCTTATTCTCATTTATATTTTATATCTTATTATTAACTGTATATGTAATTGTTATCATTAATGTCATGTATCACCCTCTTAATATTAATATATTCCATATCAGGAATATATGGACTTTTAGGGATGAAATATGAAGATAGCTTTGTGACTGTGATGGTGCACTAAACTTAGTTTAGCGAGTACGCTAATGCTGATGTACTTTTGTGTTCAGATATATATATATATCGCCAGGATATTGTTACTAAACAGTATAATGAATTAATGAGTTTTGCAAGTACATAAGTGTGTACTATTTCAATGTTTTATTATCATGCGTTAGAAGGTATAGAATCAGTAGAAGAATAGGATGATTTGTATGATGTGAATGAACGTCTCATGAAATGGTAGTGTATGTGGATATATATACCCATCTCACAGCTAGTGTGTTAACATATATGCAAGCCTGTATATTGTAGCCACTTGCATAGACTTACTGTCGTGAAGTGTAAACATGGTACCCAAGTTGTGTATAGATTAGATGTGAATAGGACCTTTGTTCTAAGAGAGGGATTTAGTCGCCTCTCTGATAAGCTACATCTAAACAGTTTGGTAAATAGAGTTTCTCTCCTCCACCAGCGATAGTAGTCTAATTAGGCGCAGACCCATTTAAAAGATGTAGTTTGTTATATTATAGAATAGTGCAGTTATTGATTGATTAATAATCGAAGCACACATTTAATGAGTTTGATTATATATTATTATATTGTACATGTGTATTTTGTAACCATGATACTACAATAGAGCAACGAGCTTAGTAATTTATTAGTTATGTTAGAGAAGGCAACTTCAGTGGTCTGAATTGTAGAATAATTGAGAATTAGGCAAACCCAGCAGAAGTTTCGGCAAGATGCTTTATCTCACCAGTTTGGTAGAAATCAGTTTCTCTAAAGCTCATGCATATATTCGTTTATTAAATCTTAAGTTTATTTTCAGATGATTTATACAATCATTACATGTATTTAATTGTCCTTGTGGGTTTTGAGACAACGTAAAACTGTTATACATGTAGTTGTATATTTGTAGAATGTATAGTTTTACCTTGACTTATTATGTTGCGGATGCACCAGTAATTTGGAATTGCTTGGTTCTTAAAACGAAAGGATTATATATAGTAGAATATATTCTATGCTAAACCTTTAATAGATGAACAGATATATGAGTGCATCATATAGTTACCAGAATTGCAACACGTGTATTCAAAGATGGGATACTAAGTTAACTATTAATTGAATTTGTTAGAAATGGAATTCAACCTTATATTTTACCTGTGGTATTTAAGCCACGAAAGTTTAGTTAGAATTAACTAAAACTGTATTATTGTAAGCTGTTTATATACTTAGTTAGAAGTTAGATTAGGTTTTGTTATGAGAGAAGATCTGGCTATTGCAGATCGATGTGATATAGTTTTAATGTATAAAACTGAAGCATGAACATGTGTTCATGATCGCCGTTGATATTTGATTACTCTTATTCATGATTATTCTTGCTTATTGCGATGGTATTAAGAGTAATAAAAGTCATTCTACATGCTGACACCAATTACACCACAAGTAACTGTTTTCTTCTCTTCATTTTATTATTCTAGCTCCCCTTCCCTGATAGGGGCGTTACATTTCTGGAGGCACTGCCCGGATGGTGTTTGGCTTGGAGATGAGGAATTAACTGCCTGTCACCTCAATGTCAATGCATCATCCACAAACAACTAGGGGACCAGTATCAGTCACCACCATCACCACCTAGCTCCGTCTCCATCAAACTCTTAGGTGATCTCTTCTAGGGCAGACCAGGGACAAGAACTGAAGATATGGCAGGCTTCGAAGGGCTCGAGGACGACGTGCTTGGGAGGATAGCCGCAAGCACTGAGGAAGAGCTTCAAGCAGCTGCAACGCTTCTAACAGTGTCCAATGAGGATGTTGTCACGGCGCAGACCAAGGGAGTATCGGGACTGCGGCGTCTCATCAAACGAACTCTGCACAGTGAGGAAGTCGCCGAGGAAGAAGATGGAGGAAAGGCTAAGTGGGAGGGAGTGGCACGAGTGTTGGCGGTCGAGAAGGGAGCCCCCGTAAAGCAGATTCAGGCAGAGCAGGCCGACGGCTGCCTGGAGGATACAGGGGTTCACGTAAAGAAGGAATCCCGGTCCACTACTGCCCCTGATGATAGGAATCCCGGAATGCTCTGGAGGAAGGATTTTAAGATCATTGGACAGATAGGAGAACCTGGCCAGAAGGACAAATTGTCCTTTGTCAGTCTAGCACGGCAGGTAGAGAGTGCGTCTAGAAAAGGGTTCTCAGAGGCAGAGGTGGTTGAAGGAGTTATAAGAGCGGTCAGCCCAGGACTACATCTTCGGAGCTACCTGGAAGGGAGGCCAGATCTAGATCTTCCAATGTTGCGGAGCCTTTTAAGATCGCATTACCGAGAAAAAGACGCAACATCACTGTTCAAGGAGCTGTCCAACTCTGCTCAGCATCAGCGGGAGACCGTCCATGATTTTGTCCTGCGGACCCTAGACCTCAAGCAGAAAATAATCTTTGCGTCGAAGGAGGCCGGCTCAGCAGTGAGCTACGATAGCTGCCAAGTTCAACGGATGGCACTTCATTCAATTTCGACAGGGATCCAGAGTGAGGCGATACAGCAAGAAGTAAAGGGTCATTTACATCAGGACAGAATCACCGATGAGGAGATCATGGAGGTTCTCACGAGGGCTGTTGCCCATGAGAGTGAACGTCGACAGAAGTTGACAGGCAAAACCCAAAAGACCGGCTCTATTAATGAAGCGTCTGTGCAACAAGACAAAACTGAAAAGGGTCCAGAAGGACGAAAGTCCGAACTCAAGAAATCCCAACCCAACATGCCAGACTGGGATCAGATGCAAGCAGCTATACGCTCCATTGTACAGTCGGAAATACAAAATCATCAAACCCGACAGCCTTCTTCATTTCAACGCGGTCGACGTCGCGGATGCCCTGGCTGTCAAGAAGCTGGAAAAGGGGACAGATGTACCCATTGCTTCCGGTGTGGCAGTGGCGAGCATTTCGCTAGGGGATGTAATAACCAGGGAAACGGCAACAGGGTGCACCAAGGGGACATGGAGTACCCAAGGCAACAGCGTCCCAACGAACAGTAGGAGCTTTCTGTGCTTCAGGGAATAGGATAAAGGTAGCGAAATTGGTTGGTGAGAGGTGTATTATAAAGTGCAGCATAGGGGATATACAGGTGGAAGCGCTATGGGATACAGGAGCCCAAGTTTCCGTTTTGTCCAAAGAATGGTTGCAGAATCACCTATCACAAGAGAAGATACAGCCGATTTCAGATCTATTTCCTGATGGCTCATTACGCCTGACAGCAGCCAATCAAACAGTTATACCCTACCTCGGATATGTTGAGCTCAGTGTGTGCTTAGATCAACCAAGGAGAGCAAAACTCCTGGTCCCCTTCTTAGTCACGACTTCAAAGGATAACCAAATCATATTGGGTTACAATGTCATTGCAGAAGTCATAACAGGTCTCAACACGTCGACAAAGGATGTTAGTGCTGTCATGGCTGGAATTCTCCCAAATCATACCCAACTCACGATCAATGCTATCATTGAACTAATAACAACGCCGGATGTGACATTCACCAGAACAGTGAAATCAGGGAGGAAGACAAGATGCATTCCTCCTGGTACTTCTATCATCACCTGCAAGATAAACGCTTATGGTTTGAAAGGTTGCCTTGCCCTGCTAGAACCAGCCCTAGATCCTGCATTGCTCGAAGTGCTGGAGATTCAACCTACTGTTATGGAGATTGGAAAAGGCAAGTCAAGCAGTGTCCATGTGACGGTGATAAACTGTTCTAAGAGCAAAATATTTCTTCCTAAGCAAACTGTAATTGCTTCGATCGAGTCTGTTTCGGATGTCAAACCATATCTTCAGGAAGAACCTGTATCGGTTGGCGAAGTAGAGTCTATCCAGCTTTCTAAGGACGACTGGCGCTCACACTTCAAGCTGGACCATCTATCTTCCACCCAGAGAGATACAGTACTGGAAATGCTGGGGGGAGAAAAGAAGGCATTTTCCACAGGAGATGAGGATATTGGATTGATAGAAGACCTTCATATGAAAATTAATCTCTCCGATCAAGTACCAGTACAGAAGACTTACATGTCCATCCCACGACCCCTCATTCGTGAAGTTAAGGATTATATTCAGGATCTCTTGAGGAAACAGTGGATAAGGAAGTCATCGTCCCCATACTCTTCTCCAGTGGTATGTGTAAGAAAGAAAGATGGAACACTCAGACTGTGTATAGACTACCGAGCACTTAATGCAAAGACGATTCCAGACAGACAGCCTATCCCACGGATACAAGACGTACTCGACAGCCTCGGTGGTAACCAGTATTTTTCTACTCTTGACCAAGGGAAGGCCTATCACCAGGGGTTTGTTTCAGAGGAGTGTAAGCACATGACTGCCTTCATCACCCCATGGGGATTGTACGAGTGGAATCGCATCCCTTTTGGACTTACAAATGCCCCAGCTGTCTTTCAAAGGTGTATGGAAGGATGTTTGGAAAACCTCACTGGTGATATCTGCCATGTCTACCTCGACGATGTGCTGGTATATAGTCCGACCTTCACAGACCATGTCAAGCATCTCAAACGCGTTCTACAGAGACTGAGGGAAAGTGGGATCAAACTGAAGCCATCCAAGTGTCTTTTCTTCCGGAAGGAGGTCAAGTACCTGGGTAGAATTGTATCGGCGGAAGGCCACAAATCAGACCCAGCTGACGTAGAGGCAGTAGAGTTACTTCGGGAAAAGACCCCCAAGACTATTGGTGAGTTGAGACGGGTCCTAGGACTTCTTGGGTACTACCGGAAATATATCCCCAATTTCTCTAAGAAAGCTGGACCGCTTTACAACCTACTTTCTCTCTCTCCAGACTACAAACCAGCCAAGACGAACAAGGGTAAGAAAAAGGATCACGTCCTTCCTTCAAGTCATCCCATTGAATGGACAACAGAGCACCACAGCATACTTAATGGTTTGATCAACAACTTGCTCAAGGCCCCGGTGATGGCATACCCTGACTTCGAAAAGACATTTGTCTTGCACACTGATGCTTCAAACAAAGGTTTGGGAGCGGTACTATACCAACATCAGGAGGGGAAACTACGTGTGATAGCATATGCATCGAGGACTCTGACACCTGCAGAGAAGAAGTATCATCTCCATTCAGGGAAACTTGAGTTTCTTGCCTTGAAGTGGGCTATCTGCGACAGATTCAGAGACTTCCTCTATTACTCCCCGCCATTTACAGTTTACACTGACAACAACCCACTCACCTACGTCCTCTCTTCTGCCAGGCTAAATGCAACAGGCTTACGTTGGGTAGGAGAACTCGCTGACTTCACCTTCACCATAAAGTATCGACCAGGACGAGCGAATGCAGATGCTGATACATTGTCAAGAGAGCCCCTCGATGTCGAAAACATGGCTGAGTACTCCGAGGAAATCTCTCCCCCTATGTTCCAGGCTGTCAACCAGGGTGTGAAGGCAGAACAGATACATGCTTCTACATGGATAAGTGCAATGAGTGTCGCTGTAGGTGACGAGATGGAAAGCACTCACCAACCTATGTTAGCGGAACTGAGTAGGGACGACATAAGAAAGGCTCAGGAAGAGGACCCAGCCATATTTCCTGTCCTACAGGCACTACTCAATGATGTGCAGCCCACAAGAGAAGAAAGGAGGCAACTCCCTAAGGACGCAGTGAAACTCCTCCGTGAGTGGAAAAAGCTGGAGTTAAGCGATGATGGAATCCTTCATCGTAATACTGCCATCTATCACCAACTCGTACTACCGGCCAAGTTCAAACTCAGAGTGTACAAAGAGCTTCACAATGACATGGGACATCTGGGTCCAGACAAGGTAGTGCACTTAACCCGGGAGAGGTTTTTCTGGCCAAACATGGAGCGAGACGTGACGCGATATATCACTCAACAGTGTGCCTGCCTAAAACAGAAGAAACCGCAAAGAGTGGTTAAAGCTCCTCTTGTCTCGATCACAACAACGCAACCCTTTGAGCTGGTGTCCATCGATTTTGTTCATCTAGAGCGCAGCAAGGGAGGATATGAATATATTCTTGTTGTCATCGACCATTTCACCCGGTTCGCACAGGCTTACCCGACAAAGAATAAGAAAGGACGGACGGCTGCAGACATCATATTCAACAACTACTGTCTGAAGTACGGTTTTCCCCAGAGGTTACACCATGACCAAGGAAGGGAATTTGAAAACAACCTCTTCAAAAGACTTCAAGAACATTCCGGTATCACTCATTCCCGCACTACACCCTACCACCCGCAGGGAAATGGACAAGTGGAGAGATTCAACCGCACTTTGCTAGGAATGTTAAGAACACTCGAGGAAGAACAGAAAAGTGACTGGCGAGCTTCGGTTGACAAGCTGGTGCATGCTTACAATTGCACAAGAAACGAGTCAACAGGATACTCTCCATTTTTCTTGCTGTTTGGTCGACATCCACGCCTTCCAATCGACCTGGCATTCGGACTGCAGCGAGACCAAGAGAGAACCACCCGGACTCGAGACGAGTATGTCACACGCTGGAAACAGCAGATGGAGCAGGCCTATGATATTGCCACAAAGAATATGGGTCAGACTGCGGACCGGAGGAAGCAGCAGTACGACAAAAGGGCAAAGTCTGCAACACTCTCTCCCGGAGATCCTGTGCTCATCAGAAATATGCAGAGAGTTGAAGGACCATCAAAACTGAAAGCCTACTGGGAAGACCAAGTATACCAAGTGGTTGAACAAATAGGGGAAAACATGCCTGTCTACAAGGTGAAGCCTAGAAATGGTAGAGGAAGAGATCGAGTGTTGCATCGAAATATGCTACTTCCTTGCGATCTCCTCGAAAGTCACAGAGACAGACATGACGAGAATGATGAAGCCCCTAATAGAAATCATCGGTCAGAGAGGACTACCCAGCAGCGTAGAAACCCTACCTCGAGAAGAGACATTGTCCAACCGGATCTGAGTGAGAGTGATGAAGAACTTGAATTTGTAGCTGTACAGCACAGACCGATATCTCGGCAGGAAAATCATCCGCAGCACTCAGAGTTCAGGCCGCCGGTAGAAGATGATCTCCCACATCATATTCCAGATCTTGTGAGTAACACGTCTGACTCACCCACTCCTGATATTTATGAAACAGAACACCATATACCAGAACCAACGGTGGAATTACATAATCAGGATGGTACGAATGAGGCTGCCGATGTTGAGATGCGACCACAGCGAGCCAGACGTCCACCCTCTCGTTTCACGTACGACCAACTAGGACAACCAGTCATCCAGCCAATCCATGGAAATATCATACCAGCCCACCCATCTCCTACGACAAGTCATCCTGCTTCGACCAACTCTAATCCCCAATCAGTACCTTCATTTAACTCATTCCATCCTCCTCCTCTGTCATTCCCACCAAATACCCCTCCATTCTATCCTCCTCTGTCATTCCCACCAAATATCCCTCCTAACATCCCATTTCACCCCCATAAACAATTTTTCCAACCCCAAACTGCAGGTCCTAGGATAGATGTTCCTCAGACAAATCCATGGCCGTTCGTGATGGGACCGCAATACCCAGCAAGACAAGCTGGATATCAGTGGCAGCCAACTGACAATTCCGGATACCGAATGTGGCCAGCAACTAATGATGAACGTCGAGCGTGGCCACCATTCAACGCCGGACAACAGGTTTTACCCCAAAATTAATTTCGCAGGATTGTAAATTTTATAATTAATTTCGAGAAAATGAACCATAACTTGTACTTTAATATATAGCTTTGTTTAAGATCAAATTCTTGAGAACTCTTGGTATAGATTTCAAATGTTGGAGTGATAGTCGAAAAAACCTCACAGCGCTGTGTAACAGGGAAACTGGTGATGATGAGAGTACAGGCACTCCAAGATGCATAGTCATGCTCACTGATTTGAGTTAATGCAGTAAATGTTTCACCAGTATCCAAAGACGGACAATCACTCATAGGAAATGCCAAGAGTCTATCCCTTTGTCAAATATTGATATTGTAGATGTTATTACAAATTAAAGTCATCTAAATGGACTTGAGAGTTGACATTAAAGGTGTGCACACCATTGATGCTGCAGTTTTCATAATAATTGTTATACAGATACTATGGATAGGGCTGATCATATGAAGTGTATATATGCAGTATTGAGGATTTTGTTATGGTCCAGTCCAAGTTGACTGATTTTTATGTTACATGTATGTATGTATATATATATTTACTTATTGTTTATCTGTCGAGGACGACATCTTTTCTGGTGGGGAAGAGTGTGATCAGGCCCGACAGATTTGATTGTTTTGGATAAATTATGCCCCCCTTTAAAATTTGTGTTAATTATAATTCACTCCTAAATCAGTGACTTATAATAGAATATATAGTTGGCCAAAAGTGGCATCTCTTAAGAAATACCCCCCCCCCCTTTTGGAGAATGGAAGAGTCCT